GTGTAATTAGTTCTGTCACTCTTAGGTCATTAGTTTATTCATCTTTAGTCTTATTTCTACAGTGTTCAGGTTTATTTACGTTCAGTAGCTTTGTCTTACAGATTTTAGGTCTGTTTTCCTCACCTGCCCTCCTCTCAGTTATCAATCTCACCTGTGCCCAATTCCCTTAATCACTCAGTCCCTGTGTATAAAACCCTGTTGGTCCATTGTCGTTGTCAGTGTTGTTCTGTTCCCCCTCGTGAAACTCTATAAATGGTAAATGGCCTGTTTTTGATATAGCACCTTCTAGAGTCCTGGAACCCCCCAAGGCACTTTACAACACAACCAGTCATTCATCCATTCACACACACATTCACACACTGGTGGTGATGAGCTACGATGTAGCCACAGCTGAACTGGGGCGCACTGACGGAGGCGAGGCTGCCGAGCACTGGTGCCACCAGTCCCTATGACCACCACCAGCAGGCAACGTGGGTTAAGTGTCTTGCCCAAGGACACAACGACAGAACACTCTAGGTTTTGCTCATCAAATGGCCTTTTTTTTTGTTTTTGTCAGTCAGGTTTCCGATTGTAGGCTTGGCTTCCTGCCCGTTTGGAATTCACTCATCATCCAAAATAAAGGAATTTTCATTTATGCGACTGCGCCTGCATTGAGTGATTCTGGTGTTCTGCATTTTGGGTCAATCCTCCTCCTCCTCAACGTGGCAATATGCATGCAGAAGTGTGAGCAGAGACGAGCCTGCCTCTGCTCTCTCTGAGCTGCCCCGCACACACTCAGGCGCGCAGTCAGGGTGGGGGACGGGGGGATCTGTCCCCCCCCAGATTCAGATCGACCCAATCCGTCCCCCGCACTAAGGCCAGAAAGAAAACAAAATCGGAGGTTAAGCGCTTTAAGCTCCTTTTTCCAATTACTTTGAATGGAGCATGATGTAAACAAACACGACTCCACGTGGTTGCTGCTAGGATGCAGGATGAAGTGAAAAAGGCAAGCAACGATTACTGCGTATTTAAAAAAGACCAACAGTGTAAGTAGGCGGGACCGATCTAAGCGCCAAAGCGTCATTGCTGACTTTAACAAATCTCCTCTACAAACATGATCCCTCATGAAGTTACTACTTTACACCTGAAGATAGTGGAGATGTGGAACCTTCAGGCTGAGCAAAGTTTGGGAGTTTTTAGAGTTTGAAAATCGCCTCCCGCTGAGAGGCTCCCAGCCGGGGAGAGGAGGAGATGCGTGCAGCATGAAGAAAGTAAATCTTAGATAAAACGTATAATTGCCGGCAGGTCTGGTCTTTGTTGACTGATCACTCTGGTCATGACTGACTCTGATTATGAAGCAGAATATTGACTCTGATGAAGAAATTCACTCATCCAGCCGGGAAGATGGACGCTGCTGCAGCATCAGACAGCTGGTGCAGCACGAGAGGTGTGTGGAGTTCACAAGCTCCAAACGTTGGGTTTGATGTTGGTTTAACCTTCTCTGGGACGTGATGGGAAAAAAAGCCGTAAAAAAGAGGTAGATGCCGATGCGTTATATATGGATGTCAAAGTATACCACATAATCATAAAAAAAGTCAAATATACAATTTAAAAGGAGCTTTATATATTTATATATGAATTAAAACTTTCCAAATATAATGAAAATTTCTAAATAACGTAACAATACAAAGGAACATCTGTTGGTCAGGCTGAAAAGTTTGGGAACTACTGCTTTTAGTGTTGGGCATCGAGCATCGATTGGAACAGGTTCCAACTGTTAGTTTTTCCCAGAATCGTTCAAAGTTTTTTATTTCGATTCCTAGTTTTGATTCCTAGAATGCCGCCCGGAAGACGAATCCGTGGGCGATTTCCATGAAAAATAAATATGATCTGCAAATTGTGATCAACGCTTTTCAGAGCTGATCACAACAGCTGTGTGTGTGCAGCACCGAGTCCCCCCCAATAAAAAATTATAACAATAATAATATATCACACACTAAGTTGTGAACATTTTAATTTCCTTTATGTTGGAGACATTTAGCTTCTCATCCCAGAGGCTTCTTCCAGACTTTGGTTGTGGTCAGAAACAAACACACTGGTTGTGCTGCAAGTCTTTTTCTTTTGTTCTCCAAAACATGTTTTTGTTTAAATGAAGGTGATGTTGTTGTTCATAGAGTTACAATTCATGTTGAAGTTAAGATTATTTCATCAAGTAGGACCTGTGGCTAGCTGGCTCATGTAAAACATGTCATGTCTTGAAAGAATCGGAATCGGGAATCGATAGGAACCGGAATCGAAACGAGGAATTGGAATCAGAATCGTTCAAAATCAAACGATGCCCAACCCTATAAGTGAATGTTGTTTTTTAAATATATTTTATGTGCAATTTTTTAGAGCTTTTATGTTTTCTGTAAAGATCGGTTTGCTGAAAATCATTTCATGTTTTGCATGAAGTTTTTGGTTTCATGCAACCAATTTACCTTTCCTTTCATGTGAAGGTTTTGGTTAGTAATTGATTGGGAGAATAACAAATGACTGACTTGGACTGTGTTGATCAGGCAGAGCTTTGTTGCCAGCGTTCCATTGCATAATGGCTTCAAACACGTATATAAAAGTGTTAGTGTTTTCGTAAACCATTGGATGAAATTACACAAACTGACTGAGCTCTAGTTAAGGCTCTTGCAATAGTTTGTGTATGTGTACGTGCGTGTGTGTGTGTGTGTGTGTGTGTGTGTGTGTGTGTGTGTGTGTGTGTGTGTGTGTGTGTGTGTGTTTGAGGGAGGGTACATTGGAACTTTGTACCCCCAGTTTGAAATTCCTATCTGCGCCCCAGCACACACTAAAGCCTGGGGCACACAGAAGACAGAAGCGCTGCGGTTTTGGAAAGTCAAGTGGTCACACAGGACCCGCTACACCACTTAACACTTTTTGGAAAATCGCACGATAGTCATAACATCACTTGAGACTTGAGAACAGGAAGTGGAAAGGGACTATTGTTTATACGTGATCAAACTTGCTAAGTACGCTATTTATTAGAATATTTTATGATCAATAGTACTTTAATGTTATCAATACTGTAATCAAGTAGCATTTATATGCTCCTCGTTCGTGTTTTGGCAGTTGGGTTTGTTCCGCACACAAGACAACAGGAAGTTGGTGCATGCTCTCTGTTTTATATCGCCAACATACATGTTTTATTTCATACGTGCTGCACATAAATACGTTCTACAGTCTGTCTGATATATTTAATGACTGTGTGTGACAAATTTAGTCTTTCTGAGTGGCCATAAACACGCAGAGAAAATGCACGAGGGGAGGCAGGCAATACCCTGCCTCACTGATAGGGGCAGTGCTGAGCCCCATAGACACCGGTGCAACCAGGCTGCTCCTACACAGGGCAAAGGTGTGGAGGTGAACTAGCTTAAATTTTCTCTGACTAAATGAAAAATGTATGGCTCAAAACTGAAAAATGTATTTAAACTGGATTTTCAGTCAGAAATGGAGAGGATGGTTTTTACAGCAGCGTTATCATGGAGATGTCAGGTTCATGGACTTTAAAAACACATAAAGGTAAGACCATACCATAGACTGTACATATACTGGACAAACGGATTCCATTGGCTTCAATAACACGTTTGTTGTCTATAATGGGAGGTGGCCACCACCGCCATTTTGACCGTGTCACAGGTTCCGTCCAGCCCAGACAATTCCATAAAAGGGAAGAGAGGAGGCGCTGAGGGTGTGGCTGTAAGGCTGGGCTCGAGTGACGACACCCAGGCGAACTAGCTACGAGCTAACCTGAAGCTAACCCTGGCTAACCCAAAGCTAAAGCGGAGGTGGGAGCCGAGCTAACGGATGTAGCCACCTAGCTTCAACCCAACCGGAGCTAACTGGAACACCCATCGACCTGAACCTTACACGGAGTTTAGGTGGAGGTTTTCTGCGCCTGTTCGTGAGAAGTACCTGTATTAAAAAAGTTTTAAATCGGTAAGTTTATAATTTATTTCCGTAATGAAAACATTTTGCTTTGAGCAAGTTTTCAGTACAGTTTTTTTCGGCGCTATCACTCCTGAGTCGCACCAGCCATTAAATGTATCATGAATAAGAGAAAATATATTTAAGTCGTATTTTGGGGGGACATTTTATTATCTTTCTTACAAAATCTGAGACCAAGCGTTTCACATTGCAACACAAGCACCGGTAACCATAACAGAATGAACAACAGCCAGCAGAGGAGAGGATGGCGGTGTTTCAAACCCTCCCGGCCGGCGAGGAGAGCTCATTCCTGGGCTGGAGCCGGCCCTCAGCACCCCGCCACAGGCTCTAACAGATGCTGGCGGTGTTTGAAACCCTCCCAGCGGGACAGGGGAACTCATTCTTGTGTGGGTTGGAGTCGGCCCGCAGCAGCGTGGTGTAGCCTACATATTTTGTTATATAAGTCGCTCCGGAGTATAAGTAGCAGGACCAGCCAGAAAATGTAAAAAAGTGCGAGTTATAGTCCGGAAAATATTGCAGTTATTAGTATTCGAGCTAAATTAGCAGCGTAAATACATTTCATATATTTCCAAAATGTTATACTTGTTTGTATCTTGTACAGCCAACTAGTCTTTATTCTGGACTCGGTACAATTTACCAAAAGTAAAGAGACATTATACAGATGAAGTAAGCACCAGATAACTTACTGGAAGACACGGAATTATCATCAGAACCAGAACAAGAGAGCCTGATAACAGTCGTGAAAATAACAGTTAAAAAGTATGTATGTATAATAGAAATAAAAATATATTAGAATTAGTGTAACTCACTGTGATCCAAACAATAAATCAGCCATAGCTGATTAGTAAATATGACATGAGGTCTGGGAGTTTTTAATTTTCATTTTTATTTTTTTGTTAGATCTGTTTAAATGTCACCATGGCAGCCTGTGTGTCTCCAACATCAGCTACACAAAGCAGCAAGTTTAAGTTTCACATACCTGTCTCACCACTTCATGTAAGTTTTGTACTTTAAACAATTATGACAAACCTGTTATTTTTTCTCCATAGCCATTTGGATCATTGGAGACAGCTGAGTGAGGCGTGGTGCCCAGAGAGCTGCAGAGACAACCTTGGCCTCCCTGACGTCTGTGTCTCCTGGTTTGGTTGGGGTGGACCATCGACATACATACATGTGCCGACACTTTGCGCCCTGTTTTATAAAATGTAGTGTTAAAAATAAATGTTTTTGCTCAATTACTGGAATTTCTTTGGTTAAGACAAAAGTGAGGAATAATCATTTACAAGTTATTTGTACAACAGGCCCATTTTAAATCCCAACAGTTTCTTAGCAGACAATAGAAATGTGTTCTTTACTAACTTTACTTGGTTTAAAACTCTTACTAAAATAGTGCCGTATTGCAAAACCCAATCATACTTGTTATGTAAACATTAGCTTTGTAGATATTTTTTACAGATATATATTTGTGTGCAACAAATCCAAACTTAAATAGTTTGTCATTCTTTATTGAAAAACAACAAAATACAGTTATACAGAAGTGTGGGAAAATGATAATGTGAAAGTATTGCTATTTAAATGTAATCCTATTTATCTTTAAAAAGAAAAACTCTAAAAATGTCCTGTACAGCAACATGACAGAAGAATGGTGGTCTGTCTGTCAGAATGTGCTGAACAGATTTGCTCTTTGAGGAGGAGTGTCATGTTTGGAGGAAGGTACTTAACCCAAGACATGCAGAATACAACACTGACCAAAAACTGATGGAAAAAATGATTTATTTATAAGGAGGAACTTAAGGTGCACAGATAAGTCTGTGGTTGGAACTGCAACAACAGCTCAGCATCTGGAGGAGGGAGAAAACAGGTGAGCTTAGGTTCTGGTTTCAAAATCCATTGTAGGCAGGCAGAGGTGTTCAGCAGACTTACTGTGGTGGGTGTATGTGTTGGCTGGAGGAGGGAGAGGTAGAGAGCCGGGGGAAGCGCAGGAGAGGGAGCAGAGGTGGAGAGAAGCGGGGCGTCCTGGTGGATGGGGCACTGGGTGAGATGAGAGGTGGGTTATGGAGGCTGGTGATAAGGTCCGTGTGTTGAATATCCAAATCCTGGAGTAGAGGTCAGTATCCAATGAGGTCGACAGGAATCCTGAAGAATGGTAAATCCAATATAAGAGCAAAAACACTACGAAATAACATTAATCCTAGGAACACTAGAGGTAACACGAGTGGCTGGTTACTACCAAAACTGAGGCAATCTTCTGGCGTCAAATTTTGTCCTCCATCCACCTTAAATAGGAAAGCACCCCGCTGATCGCTGATCAGGAACGGCTGGGGTGGAGTCACCAGAACCATGAAGAACGTGTCTCCAGAGACAACTCGGGTCCTGGTACCGATCAGGAAAGCGGACCTTATCACCCAGAGCTGCCAGGTCACGCTCAAAGCCTTCATGTTCACGCTGCAGAGCCTGAACGCTGGCCAGGTGGTGGCCGTAGTTGTCTGTGTTCAGGGCCTGGTTCTTCTCCTCGATCCACTCTTTGGTCTCATCAGCGTCTCTGAGAAGACATCAGAACTCCGTCTGAGTGTGGGTCCAAACTCTACTGACCCGTAAGCGGCGCATAAGTGTGCGGGGTACCTGTGGAAGCGCTGCACCTCATGGGCGCTGCCCAGCATGTTGCTCCGGTCTTCAGCCAGCTGTTGCAGCGAGCGCCAGCAGTTGTTCAGCTCCTGGAGAGAAACCAAACCCAGTGAGATGAAGGTGGACGCCAGCGGGCTGGACGCCGGACGAGGAAACCTGGAGACGGATCGCTCAGACAGGAAGGGAAGAGCTTCCTCTTACCTTGATGGAATTAAAGTTAGCCGTCGTCTGAACGCCCAACCGTACGGTCTGAGGTCAAAGGTCACAGGAAACACACCAGTCAGCAGTCATACAGATGCATAAAGATAACTGTAGCCATGGCAACCAGCTGACATGTCCCCACTTTCACCAGCACCTGGTGCCTGCCGGGTCACCTGAATTCCTGTGTGATTTCAGCACGGTCGGCCGTGACTGCGGCCATCAGAGGTGACCTCTGATCAGCTGAATGAACTCACCTTCTAGGGTGACGCCGTGTTACCCCGGGTTTCCACGGGAGCCGTCAGCAGCACGTTACTGCAGCAGCACGTCTTGCTCGCGTAAGCTGCTGCTTGGCCCTTCCCACGAGACGCGAAGCAGCAGGGGAGCAGCTGTCACCGACCGAGCACGAAGTCACTCGAGTGACTTCGTCAGTAAACACAACAACAAGCAGGACAAAACTACAACATGGTTTGTTTTATGTTCTGTCCGTTTTATAATCGCCAATACGGACCTGAAAAACAAAGGAGACCGCTAGCTAGGTGATAACTTCTCACGGGGCCGCACAGTTAGTAACTGTTTTTAAAATTAAAGCAACCGGAAGGCAGTACGTTCTTTATTCTGAAAATCTCGGTAGCTTCTCTCAATTTCCGCGTCCGATTTCCTGTCTTTCCTTCCCCAAAAATGTCGAACTTGACCCGTTTCAGAGGCGTAGAAAATAGAACCGGCGCGTAAGGGCCGCGACATGCTGCTCCTGAGACGTGGCCGACTCGCGCTGCTGACGGCTCCGGTGGAAAAGGTTCTGTTGACCACAGCGGTTCCTATCAGCAGCTATGACGTGCTGCTGCAGTAACGTGCTGCTGACGACTCCTGTGGAAAGCCGGGGTTAGAGACGGCTTCATCCTGTAAACAAACAAATGAGTGGTAACAAAAACACCACGTCTGGTTCTGGTGGAGGCGGAGGACAACACGCACCTTTCCAGGAGCAGAACCCAGATGTTCTTGTTGCTACAAACAGAGACGAGCAGAGTTAACAAACCAGGAAGTGAGAGGGACCAGCTGCTGCAGACAGGTGACGCTCACCTGAGCCTGAACCATAGGAGCCTCCTCAGCCATCAGACCTTCTGACTCCAGTTCACATGCCACCTTGTTGATGTCCCTCAGGCGGGACTCGTTGGCCTTCAGGTCCTGCAGGACAAAAGCACCTGCTGATTATCACCTGAGCTGATCTGACAGCTGCTGCTGGAAGACGGAGAGGAGGAAAAGTCCGACCTTCTGGAAGTCGTCAAACTTCTTCTGCAAGACCTCGACCTGCTCCAGGTCCGACCCGTCTCTCCATCCTCATTCAGCTAAAGACGCAAGTTCAAGTAAAACAACCTAAAGTCACACAAACACAAAGCAGGTGTGGAGATGTTCGCTCTGAGCTGGAGGTCGTTCCTCGGCTGTGAAGGGCACACGAACCTTGTTGGTGCTGTTGAGCAGCGTGAGGATGTCGCCCTTCTTCATGGTGACCTCTCGAGGACTCTTCTCCTGGTAGTCGTACAGAGCCAGAACCAGCTCCTTCCCGGTCTCATCGTCAGTTGGAGCCACTTGTTGCTGTTGGGTTAACAGGTCTGGTGTTAGAACGTGGTGGATAAGAATGTTCTGACGGGCCGAGGGTTCTGAACCAGCGAAGTGACCTGGACCCAAACAAAGTGAGCCAGAACCTGCAGACACCTCAGAAACATGTCAGGACCAGACCTGCTCTACCTTCCTCCATTATGGTCTCTCCTTTCTGGGTGACAGCCTTGATGCGAGGTTCATGACCTGTGATCTCAGCCTGCAGAGCCTGGTGCTTCTTCAGCAGGTTCTGGACACCAATCAGGTCCTTCCCTGAGGACACATGTTAGAGTTCAGCATTATGCAGTAGACAGACCAGTTTAACCCAGGGGTTTCTTTCTTCTACAATCTGCTCTTTAACTGTATTATTTCCTGCTATTTCAGCTGTTAACTTTATTTTTTCTGTAAGTGTTTTTCTCCCCAGAAGAAGCTACAATGATGTTCTGCTGAGCTGTGGTGGCCTCATGGAGGGGGCCATCGTCTAGCACACTGCTGCTAACCACTTAATCATTCTCCCTCTCCTGATAATAACATTTTACTTTCTTTGATGTTGGATGTGCTACTACTAGTTTACCCGTTTAATTATAGATTCACTAGGATAAATACAATAAAGTTTATCTCTCGCCAAATAGAATATTTACTAAGAAATCACAATGTAACGTGTGTGTGTGTGTGTGTAAAAGCCATGCGTAATGTTTATTTATAAAGCATATGTTGTTGGATTTTATCCAGAATCAAGACTTTGAAAATATATAGTTTAATTACAGTTTGATTTATTTGACATCTGTATAATGTTTATTATTTTGTTTTTTCCCCCTAAATACCTAACGTTTTAGTTAACATGAATATTAGTCATTCATCACAATACGTGAAGTTACACATTTTAAATTTTAATAGGGGAAGACTGCAGGAGGGAGCAGTAAAATACAGGGGGTCCCCTGCAAAAACTAACTTTACGAGTCTGATGAAACTTGCTGGTATTCCCGCTGCTTCTTCGGTAAACAGCGCCAACAAAAACAAAGAAACTTGGGATCTTGTCGGCGTGGCAGTGGGATTTAAGGGAAACGCTGTATGCCCTATAGACTTCTCAACGAGCTGCAGTATTTCTCCGGTCAGATCTGTCTCCGAGTTCCACGAGCGGTCAGCCCGCAGCAGCGAGGCGCCGCATCGATCAGCCTGCCCGGCCTGACCGCTGGGGATTACCGGATGAAAGAATAGAGCACAGAAGTGTCCCCCCAAGCGGCTCGCCCCGTCATATTTCAACCCATTTTTATCTTAAATGCACTGGGTTTTACCCTATTACCCATTTAAATATGCCCTATTAATTATTTTACCGTATTTTACATTTAAATTTCATGGTTAAACAGTACATGCTACATGTTAAACTGATAGTTAGCTAGCTACTTCGGTAAACTCAGCTAGTTTAAAGGCAGCAGTGACATAAAATACAAATATAGATTTTAACTTACCGAAAAAAATGAAGTGGAGACTCCTTGGACGCTCTATTAGTGCAATTAATACCACAGCAAGTCATTTTGTCCAACAATTGCACCAATATTATCCAAAACAGAATTCACAAGCACAGAGACTCAAAATCCCGACACAGTTTCCAGGAGAGACCGAGGCTGTACTGAGGCCTTTCCACGGAGCTAGCTCTGTGGTCACGTGGGTCTGAGGCGGCGGTCACGTGTGTCGGATGCTCATTAATTATACAGAATTTTAGGCTTTCAATACACTTAAACAGAAGAGTGAGAAAAAAATTCACCCCCCTCAGAGTTGTCATGAGTATAAACTAGATAATTTAGACAAAAAACCATTTTTTGAACCAGGCTGTAAACATGTTTATTTCTGCTGTGAAAATGGCATTTTTAACATGGGAGTCAATGAGGATTTGCTCGCTTCTGGTACCAGCCCCCAGCGGATGAGGGTGGAACTGCAATTTTTCTTACTTCCGGGTTGGGACCATTTTCTGAGCGGCATTGTGGGGGCTTGGACCATACATCAGGGATGTCCAAACTTTTCAAGACGAGGGCCAAAATCATGAAGTTAAAACTCCTCACGGGCCACAAAAATTACATTTTTTAAGGCCACTGAAAAAAAAATAATTCTGAGATTAAAGTCAGAATTCTCTAACTTTAATAATGCTGAGAAAAAAAAGTCAGAGTTCTCTTTTTCTTTTTAATGGCCCTCTTCTGTACAAAAAGGCCTAAAATAGATATTAGTAAAAATTAGAACATAAAATATAATATATATGAATTTATATCAACAGTCTCCCAGAGAGACTTAACACCACAATTCTAAAAATGCTAGTGAGGGCCACACTAAACCACTCCGAGGGCCGCAAATGGCCCCCGGGCCGCACTTTGGACACCCCTGCCATGCATGATTTTCAGCTGTATTAAAAGAGCTATGTCTAGATTAATGAATACATTTTGGGGTCAAATTTGCAGAAATATTAAATATTATTTTAATTTTCTTGCTTTTGTGTTGTTGAATAGCATGAGATTGATCAAATCATAACTAAGAAGCTTTAAAACAACAAAATGTTTAATTCAAGGTCAAACATAAAATACAAACTTCTATTTCGGGATTATACATTTGTAAGTCTGACTCGAGACTCCGTGCCTCCCCAGTCATGAACCTCATGGCACGTCACTGTGTCAGCGCAAGGAAAGTAGCAATATCTAATTATAATGACTTTGACATATAATTTCAATAAGTTACTTCTCCTTTATTTATGTCCTTGCTCTGACTAGGGATGGGTACCTTTGACATTTGAATCGATCCGGTATGACATTTGAATCGATCCGGTACTAATTCCCGGTACCTACGAATCGGTACGGGTACTTAACGGTACCAATTTTCGATACTTTTGAGTGTTTATTATTTTAATTCTCTTTTATAATTAAATATATATTTTTCTCAATATATAACCTTATTTGATAAATATCACAAAAAGTAACATACAACTGATTGTATTTTAACATCGTCCTTGTAGTTTTATAAGCTGATAATTAAACTGAAGCAAACATCTTTACTGTGAACTAAATTTACTGTGTATCTTCATTGCTTTTGCCATCTTTTTTCATTTGATTTTTCCTACTGGGAAGTTAGAATTTCCGAGGAGAAAGCGAGCGCACCATTAGCTGATAACAACGGTGGCAATGGAAGCTAACATATCAAGCTAACTTTATCTTAAACAGTTTATTTAGCTGCTGGAGCAGATTAAAACGATGATGCCTCACACTTAGATCATTGTCACTGGTTTCGTCTTCACCCGTCACATTTAGTAAAGTGAAGCCAAACTTTAGAGCGCGTACATGTTCTTCTAGTTGGGAATTCGGAGTTCCGAGGAGAAAGCGAACGCACCATATCAAGCTAATTATATTTACCTACCGGAACAGATTAAGATGAGGATGTCTCACTTAGATCGTTGTCGCTGGTTTCATCATCACCCAGTTACCCATCACATTTAGTGAAGTGGACCCAAGCGTTAGCGTGCGTTCTTTCTACCATGCTGCTGTTTACAACTCGCTCGCAGCGACCGACGACATAACGCTCTTGCGCATGCGCAGCTGTCTTGGCAAGTTCTCGTTATGATGGACGGGTACCGAAACGAGGCACCGTTTCAAATGATGTGAATCGGTGCTCGGTCGGTACTATGGAATTCGGTCTGTACCTTAAAAAGTACTGAATTCGGTACCCATCCCTAGCTCTGACAGCTATATGCTTCCATATGTTTTATTATTTCTGAGTCTTTGTAAATCTGTACTGGGTCCCTCAGGGGTCAATTGAGCTCTTCAGTTAGTATATGTGGCTATCAGGGTCATTTTTTTAGATACTGTCCCTTTTCACAGTTTCCTTGATGATTTTCAAATACTGGGTTAAGTCTTCAACCTTTATTGAATGTATGGAAGCCCTGAAAGGCAATGAAACAAAGCATTTTTCGACATCCAATATTATTTTCTCTTGGTTTTAAAGGTCAGGTGCAAGTAAAAAATTGTTTTTCATTTAAAAAATTTTACGGGTTTTTTTTTTTTTTTGCTTTGGCTCTGAAAATCTAGTGAAAAAATCTCTTTATCTCATTTTTTCTAAGTATTTTTTTTCCGTTCTCATCCAAAACAAAGCAAAATTTAAAAAAAGTGTACTTTTTGTGCTTAGGTCCTGAAGGGCAAGTAAAAAAAGGTATTTTTTAAATATATTATTTGTCATTTTTTCACCTTGCCGTTTTGGGCTTCCAAAGTAAAGGGCTTTCAAAACTTCCAAGGACAGAAGTCAGCAGGTTTGTAACGTTCTTAACATTTATGTGGACCCTCTTGACCCCTCAGCTCCGCACATTGCTCAGATTTTACAAAAATGCACCACCGTGAGCTATTACAGTGAAACCGTCTCAGGATAACTGTAACCATCTGTGTATTTCTTCGAATGCAAACACGATTATCGCTGTTTCTGGGTGTGATGCCAGGGCATCCTCTTCCAAGTCCCCATATCTCTGCAGAGCACAGAGCATGGTCTGTTCTCACAATGATTAGAGGTGCACACATTAATGAGGTTTAAAGGAAAATTAACATTCCTCCCTTTGACGTCACAGAGTGCCAGTGTTTTCATCAAAACAGGCTGAGAGGTCAGACAGGATTTCCCTCACCGACAACAGTTGGCTACACAAATACAGACCTGAAAACAAACGTGTCATTGGGGTGAAGGCCACAGGAAAAGCCAAACAAAGCACCTGTGACGTAACAGTTGAAAATAAAATACATTTCTCATCACTCAATGGGCCTCAATGCTTTCCTCAAAAGCAGCAACTTATTCGGTTCTCAGGACTTAAAAGTCCATCGGTGACCAGGCAATGCACATAATCATCTCTTTGGTTGGTTTTTACACAAAATAAAACAATCTATATAAACCATGAGCACCGGAAAGGTTAGCTTTTTTTGCCTGATTTGCGCAGACTTCCATAATCCGACTTGATACTTGCAAAACGCTCTGTCACCCGACCCCAAGGAGCAATCGGTACAGCCATACACATCATACTGCATATATAGTAAATGTTAGTAAAAAAAGATGTACTAACACGACCAGCTCGTTTGATACTGAAATTACAATTTTAATCTGGATTCCCTCAACACTTCTCATCAATAACCGTTTTGAATCCCAACAGCCAAGAGAATAAAGAACCTCAGATACCTATTTGATCTTGCTTTCTGAACGTACGTGAACATCTCTTCCTGATTTCCAGGAGTCCTTTGAGGTAGTTAAGGCTTCCATCTGCCTCTCAGTCTGAAGCCCTGGTCCAGGTCCCTCAAATCGACCCCAGAGGTCACGGTAAACATCTGGATTAAGCCCAGCAACCTTGTTCTGTTTGCTGTACTGACTTTCCCATACCAACCAACCATGCCAAATGATAAAAGATTAATTCAATCAATCAAAGCTTTATTTATATATTGCGCCTTCCACAACCCTTTTTGGGCACCCAAGGCACTAGAACACATTGTAAAAAGACAAAGTCATAAAAAGATAAGTTAAAACATAGAACCTAAAACGTAGAGCATAAGGCAAAGGGATAAAACAATTAATAAAAGCAACAGCAATTCAAAACAAGAACTTTTCAATAAAATAAAAATAAAACATTCGTCAAAGGATTTGGTCAACATTCAAAACTTGCAGATTACTGAACAGCCTCTGGCTGACCTCATTTGCATCTAACCCCAGCCTATAACCCAGGATCACCCTGGCCTATCTGGCACTCTGGCACTGTCACCCGGTGGGCCGCTTAGCCAACTGGGCTGCTTGCCCAGCTTAGGCCGACATTACTCCACAGTTGGTGATCTGCAGAACATTAGCTACATGGTAACCCAAAGCTAAGAGTTTTTCCAGGCGTTTTTATCAAGAAAAATGCGGTAGAGCGATGACTTAGGAGTTGTTTTACCACGTTAGCACGTAGCTAATGTCCTGCTAATCTCCTCCCGTGGAGAATTAGCTGATCTGGACGGCCAGGGCTCCCGGTCGCAGCGGTCTGACCCTGCTTGTAATTTATCAGTCCCAGTCCATATTAGATCTCACATTCGGCCTAGAGACGACTCCGCGGGCAGCAACACCCCCCACCCCCACTGCTCCCCCAATGGGGAGGGTCGACGATTCGTAAAAATGCCAGCGCCGAATTTTGGTCCCAGTCCACCCCTGCCGGGATGGTGACCTGGTGTTTGTGCAGGATGACGATCTCCACTGCTGTGCTATCGGTGTATGTTAGTTCAGGAGAAATCTGATTTATCTTCAAATCAAGAACAATCACTTTCATTTTCAAAAGATTTCATTGTAAATTAGAATCACTGCAGTGCTGGTTGAACTGGTCCAGTACCTCTCTCCTCATCCAGCAGAGGTTCACAGAGTTTTCAGTTTCCTCCAACCAGCAGATGGTGCCAAAATCCAAGGCTGCAAGGTCTAAAAGCCAAAACAGGAATCTGAACACAACTGAAAGCTGAAGAATGTTCTGCTGCATTTCCTTTTCCACTATTTGCTCGAATGATTTGATGACTCGAGATGTTGATGCTTTGGGGCAAAAATCATTCAGGGCTTGAGGCGGATTTCACCTTGGCCAAAGGTACGACAGAAGAGTCGTTCCATACTGCTGGACCTGCATCCAACCTTGTGAAGAAGTAATTCAGCTCATCAGCCAGAACCTGCTCAGACTCACCAGGATCAGACACTTCTGCCCTGAGGTTTAATACCCTTCCAGGCTCTTCCTGGACCTTGTCTTTAAACCAAATGTTTGCAGTTTTTATTTCCATTCTCACTTGCTTCTCTTATACATGTCCTACTGCTGATACACCACCTTTTTATGAAACACGGTGGTTTTAAATGATTTCCTAACCCAAAGTTTATTGTTGGGATGAATAGAAGTCATCTTCTGTTCTCACAGAAGGAGATAAAACCTTCAGTCAGAGCGCTCCAAGGCAGCTGTGGCTACGATGTAGCTTATCTCTAGAAGCGTGTGAGGGCGTGTGTGAATAGGTGAATGACTGATGCGTTGTAAAGCATCTTGGGGGGTCTTAGGACTCTGGAAGGCGATAAACACAACTTTTGCCAGTTTCCCACCCCTCTTCTATTTAATCCTGCTATGCTTGAAGTTGTCTCCTGTTCTGGAGTCTCCTGAATCAAGGAATGAGAAATAACATTGCCCCTGATATTAATACTGTCATTAATAAATGACTGTTTTCTTATATTAGAACCCCCGTCACCCTAAATGAATAGAGAACAGTGTTTTTGCTTGGTATGGACATCCAAAGCTTAAGAACCATATCTAAACAACAAAAATAATCAGTGACTGTTGGATTTGTCCTCCCAAACACTCAAAATCACTATTGCACATCTTACATTTCTCCAAGTTCTGCTAAGTGGAAGCATCCTCTGCTATCAGTGTGGAGATAGTGAGCAGTACCAGGATCCTGGGTGTACACATCATCACAGAAGACCTCCACCCGCTGCCCAGTGACACATCCCTGGCCAGAAAAGCACAACAGGGCCTCTACGTCCTCCATAAACCCATGCTACAGCACGCTGACCCCTCTATCCAGGACGTGTGCAACAAACAGCTGACCAGTCTCCATGCTGGGATTTTAGTACATGCAGGAGTCTGGACTGATGCCGCACCAGTCATTGGGAGGTTTGTGCACAAGGGGGCGGTATAGCTCCACAGAACAAGACCAGCTTTAGCCCAAAAAGTCACTTTAATGTCTAGAAGTTCCCAAGTTCCTGATCGTCGTGTCAGAAGCTTGTTGTTTGAAGTAGGGTCAGTAATCTATAGATTGTGGATTATTTTTAACCCAAGACTGATAAGAGGCATGAACAGGAGAAAGGAAAACTGATCGTGTGTTTGTAGGCATAATAATAATTTTAATTAGTTTTCATGTAAATATTAGTTCTAGTTTTCAGTTTAGTTAAACAGCTTTTAATCCAAGTGCGTTTCTCTTCTAGGGAGTGGATTTTCTAATCTGGCTGCTGCTCCTTGTATAAATATGGGTTACAGTCACATCACAGAAATGGGTAAGTAATCTGAGTCACGGGGAGGGCCTAGATCTGTTAGTTTCATTTTCTTAGAAGCAACAATGGTGAGCGGCAGCAGCAGCTTCTTTCCTGGTTTTAGTATAATCTCTTTCACATTTCTAAGTGCTATTCTGATTACTAATGATGTGAATTTCAATTTCAGGATTTTGAAGGAAGTGCTGAGTAAGTTGACCCCTCAGGAACACACGATGCTGAACTGTGGGTGTTTGCCTGAACTGATGTTTATGTGCTTTGCTATAGGGGGGATTTTTTCAAAGAGCAAAACCTTTTCAGAGCAAACGCTTATCAACTGATTGTGGAAATGGAGGACATGAGTAACCTAACAGACGGAGACACCTCCTTCTTGGTGGATGAGGTACGTTTTTTAAAGGTGGACATTTCTTTTCGTGTTTGAAATCATGATATTTATTGTAAGAAGACAAAAGTCATTGTTTTGTGTCTTTGTTTGCATTTCAGATCCTTCATAGCATCTTCTTTATGGGAAAGATCATGTATCTATCATTTTCACCTGAAGACATCTTTCATGGTGATGAGAAGTTTTTGGATTACATGAGGGAGATGTACCCCCGGCCCTTTGACCTCTACTCATCCCAGATACCCAATCGGAGTCCGTTCTCATGTGTGCTGGACATGGTAAGATGTCTGCCCTGATTTATTTGTTTTTCCCAAGTTTGAAAACAAGTAAGTAAGGAATACAGCAACCTGACCCATCATTAATATTTATTCTGACAGACAGCCACAGGTTTAGGCTAAATCCTGTTCTAAACAGCAAACACATCATTTATAACTTATTCAAATCAAGTAACGTGTTTTAACTACGATTCATAATAAAAGGCAAATTCTTGTGAAATGAGTCACAAACAGTAGGGTATGGAGGGACTGCCGTGTCTCATAGATGGACAGAAGAAGTGACAAAAGTCAAGTTTAGACAGATTCAAAATGGAGCCCATAGGTGTGTTCTCTCTAATGTCTGCCGTGGGCGGGACTTGTTTCATCTCATGTGGTGGTGGTTCTTCTCACTGCTCAAGTTAAATGTACAAAGGCAAGAAAGCTCTACCTTGTTTGCTATTTTACATGTGAGACTATTCTTTGCTTGCAGGTTGTACGCCTGTCTGGACCACAGGAAAAAGCGAGCTCACAAAACAACTTGCAGGAGATACAAAACAAATTGCGGGAGCTCATCAGTAAGTTAAAACAACGTGATAATTCAAAGATGTTGTTCTCCACCACCCTGTGCGTTTCCAGTGTCTCGGGTTCAAGTAAGTATTACGGAGTCTCCATGTCCACTCATCGCAAGCCTGCCAGGCAAATCATGGTGGCTGCAGGGTGTCTGAGCTACTGGGACGACTGTGTAGCTGCGGCAGTGATGAGCTACTGTCCTCAGAAAAGGAGGAAGAGTTACTTTGACGGAACCTTCCAGCTTCCTGCAGACGTCAGGTGTGAGGCCTTCAGCATCGAGGGTCAGCGAATGATGGTTCCCTGCCGCTCGTGTAACAATTTGTTTAACTTGGAGACAACAGAAACAAAAACAAATCCTTATGGAAACTGTGCTGAAACTGAAAGTTTGAGCAACTTATTAAAGAAGGAAGAAAGAGTTAAACAGCAAGTTCAACGATGTGTAAGTGAGAGAGTGAACGACCGGGAGAGGGCTGAGCGTGACGTCTTAAAGCAGCTCAAGCAGATTCTGAAACCCTACAGCGGCTTCACATGGGACAACAGTTACTACCGTCCTCTTGATGTGTGACACGAGTTCATTTTCATGGTCAGAGTGTATTTTAATACCTTAAATGTGTATTTTCAAACAAAACCATAATGTCATGTGCTGGGTTATTTTTAAATTCAATGTAAAATAATGAAAAAGGACAAAAATGAACATCAATGTTGACAATATTGTAAGCCACAATTTTAATAGTGTATCTGAACTGTTGTACAACTTTCATAGTGAATAAAGTCCTGATTGAAAATAGAACCTGACATAATCGCATTACCTGCTCCTGTTAGCACATGTCAAACCTGACTGGAGCGGGTGCCAAACGTGAAAAGTCTCTTTTCTTTAAGTTTAAAGTTGTTTCAAAGTAAAAGCAGGATAACCTTTCTAAAGAAAGTTTATAATGGTGGTTATAGAGTGGTTAATATTGGTAGTCAAAGGTGCTTGAGGAAATTTTTATTCAGTTACAGGATTTGTTAAATGAGAACTGATAAGTTTGAATCTGGTTTTAAGCAACATCATAGTACTGAGACGGCCTTGTTGGGTTTTTAATGACCTTTTAACTGTTGATTCTGGGGATGCTGCAGTTCTTGTGCTGCTGGTCCTGAGTGCTGCATTTGATATCGTGGACCATTGTACCCTTCTGTCTCAGCTTGATCAGCTAGTGCTCTTAAATGGTTCAGTTCACATTTATCAAACAGGATGTTCAGTTCATTCAGATCACTGTTCCTCAGCTGCAGCCCAGCTGACATGTGGCTTTCCTCAGGGATCTATTCTTGGCCCAGCACTGTTTTCTTTAAATGTTCTGCCCCTGGGGAATATTTTCTAAAGTTATAACATTCCATTTCACATTTTTGCAGATGACATTCAGATTTATATGTCTTTGAAGCTGACAGGCAGTGACTCTAGGACTCTTGTGGATTGTCTTGCTGAAATTAAAGCTGGGGGTTATTTTTGACCATTTTAAATTAGATAAGCAGGTCAGCTTAGTGGTTAAATCTAGTTTTTGTCATCTTCGCCTTTTAGCTAGTTAAGCTCTGCTTCAGTTTTAAAGATTCTGAGAAGGTAGTTCGTGCTTTTATCACTACACGTATCGATCACTGCAACTCACTATACAAAGGCATCTATCAGTCTTCCATGCACCGCCTCCAATTGGTTCAGAATACTGCGGCTCAGCTTTTAAAAGGTACATGGAAGTGTGTCTTTTCTGTCTTCTCCATCCCCAGTGAGTCGTGGAGGATGGCTGCTTATACTGAGCCAGGATCCTCTGGAGGTTTCTTCCTGTTAAAAGGGAGTTTTCCTCTCCACTGTCGCTAAATGCATGCACAGTATGAGGATTGCTGTAAAGTCACTGACACTAGTCAGTGACTTGATGCAATGGGTTACTTATATAGGAAACTTTTTTCTGATTGGCTTAATGAACTGACCTGTACTGGAACGTTTACTATGTGAAGTGCCTTGAGACGACTCGTGATTTGGCGCTATATAAATAAACTTGAATTGAGAATATAACCCTGGTTTTAGTTTCCCTTCACTGGCCGTTTGCTATAGGATTGATTTAAAATGTTAATGCTAGTTTTTTAAGACAATGGATTGGCCCCTTATTAATCAGATCTCTTAGAACTGCGCTCTAACTCTAGAACACTTAGCTTAAACAATCAGCTCCAGGTTTGTGGAACAAGCTCCATTTTAATATTGGATCAGCTCAAAGTTTGGGACTTTCTTCGTGGTTTTTAGCAAGTAGGGCCTGTTTGCTCCTAGTATTGACATTGCTTTTTTCCTTTTAATCTTGGGATTTTTATTACCTCTACTTTTTATCCTTGCTTTTATGATCATGTATTGTGGTTTTATAGTTCTGTTAGCATTGGTCTCATTTTTGCTGTACAGCACTTTGGTGCAGCTTAGTTGTATTTTTTAAAGTGCTTTATAAATAAAATGACACAGAAAAAGAGGTCTGAGTATTTTAATGTTCACATGAAAAAAAAATCTGAGAAGACTGAAAAGGGCTGTCGAAGTGTTGGTTTTTATCTGCTCAGCGTAAAAAACTCCTCTGACCTGAGTGCTCCAACCCTTTATCATCTCGCAGTTATTACACAGTTGTCAAGCTCAGAGGTCTTGTTGACAAATGCATGTAATACTGATAGTGCCACATAACATGAGGTAAGAGGAAGTTACACCCGTTACCTCAAACCTGAGGTCACATTCATCTTGTCTCTTAAAAACACGCCACAACTGCAACAGACCATCGCGTCAGTCAAACTCCTAAAACTTCTGCTTTATAGATGACAGAAATTAGGACGTCATTTAAATGTACTCAGCTTGCTGCCCAGAGAGAAATAAAGGCACTTATTAGCTTATTTACATGCATGCATGATTACGTGCTCCACCCTCTTCTCTTTCTTCTGCTTCCGACACTGCCCCCTTTCACGATTTGAGGACTTTGGTGACTTATTTCTCCAAGTACAAGAAATATTTTATTTAAAGGCAAACTAAGGAACCTTTTTTATATTTTTTAACAATTTTCTTGAGCCAGTATGTGCTAGTGTTGTTTGACTCCTTTTGTGGAGATAAAACGTTTTCTTCTGATGCTGCACCATGATAAACATTACAATAAACGCTGACCAGGTATAGCTCTTCTGTTCTGAGGTGTAAGCATGGACAGCTGACCAGGTATAGCTCTTCTGTTCTGAGGTGTAAGCATGGACAGCTGACCAGGTATAGCTCTTCTGTTCTGAGGTGTAAGCATGGACAGCTGACCAGGTATAGCTCTTCTGTTCTGAGGTGTAAGCATGGACAGCTGTAGAGACTTTGTGGGACTTCAGGGGAGTGGTCTGGTGTGGTATTCTGACCACAGGGGGCGGAGTGACTTTACATTAACCCTGTAAAGGCTCATTTCAGCACCTAGTGGCTCAAGGAAATAATTTAAAAAAATGAAAAACCTGGTTTCCCTTTCAAAAGTGGAAGTATCCTCCTTCCTGTATAGGCAGCACCTGTTCAAGGTCCTGCAAACCTGAGAGTCTCTTTGAAGGAGCCTTTTATTTTATCACGTTGCTGTTTGCAGCTGGTTTATGCGAGAAGGAAGGCCACTGCCACGCTGCTGGGCTAACCTGAAGGACAGGAGACAGGAGGATTATTAAAGCAGCTTCTACTACGTTGAAGTGTGTGTGTAAAGGGGGGGGGGGTTCTTTGATAACACAGTGAGGTGTTTCACTATGGGAATCGCCCTGGCGTGACCAACTACAGAAGCTCCAATGTAGAGCTGTAGCAAAGCGTCAATGACGACAGCTCGATTCTAAAAATTCATCTATGTCAGATCCAATAGTCGTTGTTTCTGGATGGTTTGGCAGCAAACATCTGATTATTCTGGTCTGATTGAACTCTGCCTGAGTGGTTCTTCTTTTCTTACCCCCAAATTCCACTACCTCCGCTCCGCTGCGGTCCGCCCCCGCCTTCCGCAGCCGCTCGCTTCCGAACTCAATTTTTACTGGTACCTGCTCTACAACGGCTCCGCTCCGGTGCGGAGACCTGAGGGGGGCAAACAAGCATGCGAGGGATTTTCAAGATCTTGCGATACAGTCCGAGCAATAAACGTGGAAGTTAGATCCAAACACCCGTTGTGTGGGAGAAGCATCGGCATGAACTGTTTAATCTGCCCATCATTTGTGTAGAGATCAGCAGTGTTTGGATCAACAAAGTGTGACTACTTTGATAGTGGAAACTGTATTTATGGCTTACTTTTGTGCATTTAAACTTCAGCCGCCATTGATAGTTGTTAAAAGTTGTTAAACCTGTGCATATGAAACAAAAAACGCCTTTTGTTTATCGATTTATTGTGAAAAACGGAAATTGTGCTTGCTCCTTTTCCTATTGGGCCGTTGTGATTTCTGTCCATTTACTGCGGAGGTGCTCCGGCGTCCGGCAAAAATAGGATCGATTCTATTTTTGCCGGACGCCGGAACAGAGGGCGGCGCACGGCGCCGCACTGCCGGAGCACGGCCGCAGTAGTGGAATTGCTCTGATTGACTAGAACGGGACCGATTTTGCTCCGGCGTTCGTGTCGGAGCGGAGGTAGTGGAATTTGGGGGTTAGCCAGCCCCGAGGTCCTGGTCGTGGTGGAGGCCTAGCTGTTGTTTTCAGAGACCATCTTCCATGTAGCTCTACAACCTCTGGTCACTTTGCTTCCTTTGAAGTGCAGCTGATTAAAGTTGGGTGTAAGGACCCGTTCTACTGTGCTGTGGTCTATCGTCCACCTGGTCCAAACAGTTCTTTCCTTCAGGAGTTTAGTGACTTTCTATCCTCCACTGTGAAGCTGTCCAGACTGGTGATTGTTGGTGACTTTAACATCCAAGCTGATGAGCCCTCTGACCACGGTGCCATGAATTTCTCCAGCCTTATGGACTCCTTCAGCTTTACCCAGCATGTTTCTGGCCCCACACACACCAGGGGGCACACTCTAGACCTTGTTTTTACCCTGAGTCTAAATGCTGACAGTGTTTGTCCTGAGGACGTTTATATTTCAGATCACCATTGCATTTTCTTTAACTTGTCAGTTTCTGCGTCCCCACCTCCTGCTCGCCATATGGTTAGTTCTCGTTTTCTTAATGAGAGTACAGCTAGCAATTTTTCTGCTGCTTTTTATCCACCCTGTTCTTCTGATAACGACCCAGATTCCTTAACTTCTCAGTTTAACGAGCACTGCCTCTCCATTCTGGACAACATCTGTCCTGTCAGAACCAGATCAGTTCCTGCAGTGAACCCTACTCCCTGGTTTACCGACAGCCTTCGCAGCCTGAAGCGCCAATACAGAACAGTTGAGCGTTTGTGGACGAAAACCCATCTCCACGTCCATCTGCTGCACCTAAAGGATCTTCTGACATCCTTTAACTCTGCAGTCAGAGACGCTAGGGTTTCCTATTTCTCCAACCTGGTGTCCCAGAGCAAAGGGAACCCCAAGGTGCTGTTTAACACCATCAGCAGCATCGTCTCTCCTGCCTCTCCTACAGCCTCCATCCACTCTGTTACAGACTGTGAGAACTTTCTGTCTTTCTTTGTGGACAAAATCAATAAGGTTAGATCTAGCATCTCTCCTTCAGCCTTATCGCTGCCTCTCCCGACTCCAACCAGGCCCATCATCCTAGATAGCTTTGCTCCTGTTTCTTTGCCTGAGCTAACCAAACTAGTTAACTCTATGAAGACCTCTGCATGCCCCCTCGACATCTTACCCTCATCTTTGTTTAAAAGTGCTTTTCAGTCCATCGGTAATGCTTCTCTGGTCTCTGGTCAGGTCCCTGCTTACTTTAAGAACGCTGTAATCCACCCGCTTCTTAAAAAACTGAGTCTCGACCCCTCTCTCCATAGCAGCTTCAGACCCATCTCTAAACTTCCATTCATCTCCAAGATCTTGGAAAAGGTTGTTGCTTAAGAACCCACAGCTGCTCTTGATGAACATAACATCTATGATAGCTTCCAGTCAGGTTTTCGTAGAACTCATTCTACTGAAACAGCTCTTCTTAGGGTCTCTAATGACCTTCTGACTCACAGTGATGCAGGGGACTGTTCTGTTCTGGTCCTGCTGGACCTGACTGCAGCCTTTGACACTGTTGACCATCACCTGCTACTGGAGAGGCTGAGAGACTGGGTAGGCCTATCAGGAACCGCTCTCGAGTGGTTCTCCTCTTATCTTTCTGAGCGCTCCTTTTCTGTGGCTGTCTCCAAGTTTAGGTCCTCCACCACCTCCCTTACCCATGGTGTCCCACAAGGTTCTGTGCTGGGGCCTCTACTCTTCCTCTTCTATCTGCTTCCTCTTCAGCACATCCTGAGCTCCTTCAAAGGAATCTCCTACCATCTTTATGCAGATGACATCCAACTGTACATCTCCTTTAAGCCCCATGAGATGTCTAAGCTGCAGCTGTTACACACCTGCTTAGAGTCTATCAAAACCGGGATGGCTGGGAGCTTTCTACAGCTGAATGAAGATAAGACTGAGATCCTCATCTGTGCCCCAGACAAGCTGGTTCCCAAAGTCAAGAGACTCTCTTGGTCAGCTTGCTTCTCACACCAAACCTTCTGTCAGGAATCTTGGCGTGATCTTTGACCCAGCTCTCACCCTGGATTCTCATGTCAGTTCTCTTGTTCGCTCTTCCTTCTTCCATCTCAGGAACATTGCTGAGTCCCATTCTGTCCCGCTCTGAACTTGAGACTGTTCTCCACACCTTCATCTCCTCACGCTTAGACTACTGTAACTCTCTTTTCACGTGTCTGAGCTAGGGCTGTCGCGGTAACCGCAAAAATGAAATATCGCGATATGAAGAAGCCCACCGCGCTGCATCATGCGCCACCGCGATTACTGAACTTGGTTCAACTCAATGATGCATGTTGAGAAGGATGGCTGCACTGGTATCAAAACGAAACGTTACTTCGCTCCTGTGGGAGCGCTTTGGTTTTCAGTACGTCAGCTGCTGCGCAGCCAGAGTCCTTGGCCGAGACAGAGCTGCCACCAGCGGCAAATAAATAAATAAATAAACGCTCGGAGACCTGCTGAAGTCCCGGACAAGCACTGCTTCTGCAGCCGTCCCAAAGAGAGTTTGAGCCGAGCTGGAGCTCACTCGCTACCTGCAGGAGGAATGCATCCACCCTAAAGAAAACCCCCGTGACATGGTGGAGCAACAAACGGGAGATTCCCTTTGCTCGCCAGAGTCGCACGCAAGTACGTGTGTGTTAGTGCAACGAGCGCACCATCCGAGAGGCTTTTCAGTGTAGCTGCAAATGTTGCCACCCCTCTCAGATCCTCTCTCAAACCGTAGTTAACATGCTGGTTTTCCTTGTAGGTAACAAGGACGTGACCGAGCTATAAATCACCGTCATTCGTGTGTGTGAAAGTGAAATGATAGTACGCCCGCCCCCCGGCGCGCACGCGCGCGCCCGGTACATGTAATTTTTTATGCTTGATTTTAAACAACTAAACAAAATGGGGACTTGTTTCTTATTTGTTAGATGCTGCAGCCAAATTTGCATTTAAAAGTTTAACCTCCTGAATTTTGTTGTTTTTAAGTTCAGTCGGACTCAGACTGTCGGAGAAACAAGCGTTACTGCGATCTGCGTTGTTACTGCCCTTTGATCTGCATTCAGTAAAGTGTTATTAAAGAAGGCACGGCAATTTTTAACCTTTTTTAAATGTGTAAACATTATGTTTAGATAGTACTGCAATAAAAAAGTGCTGCAATAATATCGCACACCGCAATATTAAGCCACCCTGAATCACCGCAGGGGGAATTCCTCAACCGCGACAGCCCTAGTCTGAGCAGAACCTCCCTGAACCGTCTACAGGTGGTTCAGAATGCCTGTGCTCGGCTTCTGACCAAGTCCTCCAAACACACCCACATCACCCCGCTTCTCCTCCAGCTTCACTGGCTGCCAGTCAACTTCAGGGTTCATTTCAAGATCCTGGTTCTGGTCTATAGGGCCTTACATGAACAAGCACCATCTTACATTGGTGATCTTCTTAGTCCCTACACCCCCAGCAGGTCCCTGAGGTCCAGTGATCAAAGCTTACTGGTTGTGCAGCACCAGGCTAAAGACCAAAGGTGACAGATCATTTGCTGCTGTGGCCCCCAGACTCTGGAACTCTCTCCCCCTGAGCCTGAGATCAGTGGACTCAGTGGTCTCCTTTAAAAAGCAGCTGAAGACTCACTTGTTCAAGCTGGCTTTTGTATGACCTTCTTCACCACTCTCTCTTAATTCTGCTCTTCCCACCTATTCCACCTTCCTCAGGATCCAGTGATTTCGCTCTTTCCTATTCACTCTCTCTCTTTCTTTACATTTCTTTAAACACAATTGTCTATTTTTTTGCTCATTTTAAATATATTTTTAACCATTTTATAAATAATTTTTTACTTTTTTTTGTGAAGTGCCTCGTGATTTTTACCTTGATAGGCGCTATAGAACTGATATTTTCTTTTTTTTCTTCTTCATTCTTTAGCCTTCGGTTCCGACACTTAGGTGGGGGTAGGTGTGGAAGCCATAGCTGAAAATCTGACTCGCTGTGACACACTCGCCTGAAAGAGTGTTAGCAAGCTAGTATGCAGAGGCAAGTCTGCAACCAAAGCTCATTTCTATACGTAGGGCAACTCGTCGACTTAGGGTTGGGCATCGAGCATCGATTGGAACCGGTTCCAACTGTTCATTTTTCCTGGAATCGCTCAAAGTTTTTTATTTTGATTTCTAGTATGCTGACTTAAGATGAATCCGTGGCCCATCTCCATGAAAAATCAACGTGATCTGCAAATTGTGATCAACGCTTTTCAGAGCTGACCACACCAGCTGTCTGTGTGCAGCACGAGTCCCTCCTCCACCCAACCGGCGCGCAGCGGCCAAATATAAACAAACGCGTCTGCCGAACTTTTACTCCGTGATGTAAACTTTAACCCCTGCAGCGTAGAGGAAACTTGTTAAATACGTCAACACGGTGGATTTAATAGAAGCTTTAAAGAAACAAACTCTGGAGACGGTGAGGCGAGTTTGTCTCACTGCAGAAATAACAACACACACACACACACACACACAGAGCATCAGCAGTCAGACATGTGAGCGTCAGAAGGCTGAATAATAACCTGTAAAATAATTAAAGTCATCATGCTAGAGCAGCTTCTCTGTGGTGGACCACACCAGCTTCTGCCACGATAAAAAAATTATAACAATAATAATAAATCACACACAAAGCTGTGAACATTTTAATTTCCTTTCTTAACTATTTCTGCTGAGTTTTAATGTTTAAATCTGTTAGATTGTTACTGACAGCAGCTACGTTTAAGTTCCTGTTGTGACTGAATGCTGCTGCAGCATGGAGGTGTAGTTCTCAGTCATCCTGGACATGATCATCCTGAGAGTTTTAGATGAAAACAGCTGGACGTTTCTGGATATGTTGGAGACATTTAGCCTCTCATCCCAGAGGCTTCTTCCAGACTTTGGTTGTGGTCAGAAACAAACACACTGGTTGTGCTGCAAGTCTGTTTTTCCACCAAAACATGTTTTTGTCTAAATGAAGGTGATGTTATTGTTCATAGAATTAAAATTCATGTTGAAGTTAAAGATTATTTCATCAAGTAGGACCTGTAGGTTAGCTGGCTCATGGAAAGCATGTCATGTCTTCAAAGAATCGGAATCGGGGATAGGAACCGGAATCGAAACGAGGAATTGGAATCGGAATCCTTCCAAATCAAACGATGCCCAACCCTACAGTCGTCGTGACACGTTAGCTGCACCAAAGTAACTCATTAGCAAGCCAATGCTAAACGAGCAAAGGACAAGTTCGCCTCAACGTGTTAGCTTGAGCTACAGTCGCTACTACTACTCCGTCAATGACAAGAGTAGCTGTGGGAGCAGTTAGCCGTGACTGTTGCTAGTGTAGTGTACCAAGTGACGTAGAAGCACTTACTCGCGTAATACTACGCGCAAATCCAGACAGCGCTGGGACTGCTTTTGGCAAAATATCCTCACGGTACACCTGGGAACAGTTAAGCAGCTAGCCAAGATAGCCTGAAGATCGCTGAGTGAGCATAGTGTAGTTTCTCATGGGGAGAAAGCAAGAATGAGTAGGAGGGGTTGGTTGGCCGTGGATATGCTGGGTGGGCGGAGCCTGGGCACGGCACAACCGGCCTGTCAGGGACAGACGTGATGTCATTGGAGCTTCCGTAGTTGGTCATGCCAGGGCGATTCCCATAGTGAAACACCGAACAAAGTTAGAAAAAGAACGTACATTATCAGTCTTAATTAGGAAATACACCATTTAGAACATTCCATAGGCTAAAAGAGTATCGCTATATTTAAACATACAAAACTATTCAGACAAGGAGACCAACCTCTGTCTTTTGATTCTCATGATCTCTGAGACTCGAGATTTTTGTGAAGCCACCAGTTCACGATGCTCTTTATCCAACCTCTGGCCCAAAGGACTGCTTCTCACCTTTTCCCAGTCCTCTTGTGTCTAAACAAAACAAACTAAAGTGTCAGTGGTCCCTGGTTCCCCCCTCATTAAAGCCATCAGTCATAAAATCTTGCAGGTTCCCAGTGACTTACCATATCTTTGAAGGCTTCTCCGTAGTAATAGCTCTTGGATGAAGGATAGTCCAATCCATTTTGAATTAGTTCCTCTATGCTGGAAGCCACCAGATGCATCTGATCTCCATCATAACCATAAAACTCCCCGTTCTCGTTTATCATCAGAATCAGCTGCTCACAGGTAAACGAGACTCCTTCCACATAACCGATGACCTGAAACTGTAATTTGGTGGGAAGGTAAAACTTGCTGCACCCATTCACTTCCTCTGGCTTGTCTTTGTATTCTGTGTCCTTCATGGGTCCGATCGTCAGTGTGGCACCAGCTGGGTTAGTTAGACTGAGTGTCGTGCTCCTTCGTTCAGACACAAACCTTGACACCTGATCCAGGTATTTTGTACCTATAAAACATACCACACGTGTGAAGTTGAAGAAAAATATTCATATTGTATTTAAAAATAGTGTAAACTTACCTCTTAATCCATTGCATCGTGGAAAGTCTGTTAAACTTTTGAATCTGACAAACAGAAAAAATCACATTAATGGTTAATAAAAAAAACAGCTGTCCAGTGCGGTATCAGAACCAGTATATACTACAAGAGCCGCCCAGTGTGATATCAGAACTAGTACAAGCTCCAGAGTATTCCAGTGCGGTATCAGAACCAGTATATACTACAAGAGCCGCCCAGTGTGATATCAGAACTAGTACAAGCTCCAGAGTATTCCAGTGCGGTATCTGAACTAGGGTTGTCACGGAGTGAAAATGTAACCTCACAGTTATTGTGACCAAAATTACCACGGTTTTCGGTATTATCGCGGTATTTTTTTAAACGTGCTACATTTTCAGACAATTAAATAAACCCTGTATATCAGGAAAATATTGTCCTCAGTTTGAGTCTAAATTTTGCCTAAAATGTGTTATTTTGTAATTATGTTGTTTATTTGTTTACATTTTCCCTTTAGTCTTTAAAATACCAATATTTGCCCATAACTTCTTATTTTTTGTCTGTTTGATGTCATCATTTTAAAAATATTAGACCAAATGATACTCAGTACTCAAGTAGCCTTCTAATCGGATACTTTTTTGTTTTTACCCTTACTTGAGTAATAAACCCTATATCAGGAAAACATTGTCCTCGGTTTGTGTCCTTCCAGTGAGCTTTGCAGATGTGGGAAAATGTCATCAGGCAGTAATCATTGTTAAATTCATAATTATTCTCGGAGAGAGACCAACTCTTATCTGCCCCTGGGAGCCCCGTAATGCATAGCGTCATTTCAACATGGGGGTGTCCGCGACACGGTTTATATGCAGGTAGCGGCGCTGCGGCTGCTTTATATAGCGACTCGTTGCATTCTCCCTCAACCCAAATCCTCGGATCACGCATTTTAGCTAAAACGCTAACGTTAGCTTGCCTTGCGTTGACTGTAGAGTTGTGGGTGATGGTCACGCCAGGGTTTCCCTTACATAGGCGTAGCCGTGGCGACCCGCCACGGCTGAAATCCCACCGCCACGCCTACAAGATCCCAAATTTTTTTGTTTTTGTTGGCGCAGTTTCCCGAAGAAGCAGCGGGAACTACTATGTTGTCGCTTGTGATCACAGCCGGCGGGCAGCAAGGAGGAGCAGGCAGGGCAAGGTGAAGTTACAGCATAAGTTACTGAGTTTAAAATTAGAAAGGTAGCAGTGGCTATAATGCTTTTTGGTTTACATGTTTCAATAGCATTAAGATAAACGAGTGTTGACGATCTTGACAGGGTTTCCTCCAGTGCTTATTAGGCCAGGTTTTCCTCCCCCCACCAGGCTAATCATCACTTATTCATGGAAAATTTATTTATTTTTTCATGTCTGACTTTAACCGCATCTAATACTGTATTACGATGTGAACACAACAGCGACAACGTAAGATCGACGTGTGAGCAGCCTGAGAGGTCGGGTGTTTTCATCTGAACCCTTAAAACCTCCAACAGGCTACGCTGCACTATAGACGTGTTAGCGCACGGCGCTAACAACTTAGCGACGTGACATGTCTCTGAGAAAGCGTAAAAACACGTTGGACGCTTCTTCTGAAGCTGGAAAATAACACCTCTTCTTAAGCAGAGCACGACGTCGCCTCGGCTCGTTTACCCTCTGCCGAGCCGGTGTCGGTACAAGATCTGCTCGGGTGCAAGATCGGCTCGGGGTCCTTCGACTGCCAATGACGTCAAAGTACGGCAAACCCACTTGGACAAAATACACTACACATCTATACTGTTGGAAAGAATTTAGCAGTTTCGCTATGCAGACTGCTATGAAGCACATCCTGGAAAATCACCATTGAGGAAGGACTGAATAGTCTGGCTAATGGTTACAAATGTAAAACAACTTGTGACTTCTACACTTCTAAAGATAAACCTGAAGTTTTACTAGATACATTCAGACACGACATAAAGTTATACTGTAGAAGCCACAGAAGTAGGTTTTCTTCTCTATTTTGTGTTGTTGGTGTGAGCAAATTTCACTGGCACTTTGGGTGTGTACCACAGATTATAAAAGAAACTTGAGCTAACCGGTTCACCTGGGATGAGTTTCACTGGGGTGAGCTCAGGTGTGTTTGTGTTGCACATAATCAACTATACCAGATTAATTATTGCGTATCATTTTGAAATGAACTGCATATTAGGGTGTGTCATCAGTTAAGGGCTGTGTTCAGCTCAACGTGTCCTGACAACACTGAACTGTTGAATGTTTGGCAGAACAAAGATCACTAACACAACAATCCAAGAAATAAAATATTCTGATTCAAGATTCAAAGTCTTTATTGTTGCTTCAACAGCAATGGAAAAGCATCCCTAAAGTACAAACTCTACAATCACATTAATGGTTGAACTGATGTTAAAGGGTGGATATACCATAACAAGTAATAATAGTTCTATGATCTATACAAAACCTGTTTAAGTTCTTGGCACAAATCGCTCTCGCATAAAGCAAACGTAGCAGCCAAATTCTTGCGTTTCAATACCTTCAAGGATGAGCCGTTTCAGGGCTGTAGCTGGTAACACCCACCTCCGATTGGCTGCCATGAAGAGAGGTGGTCAGATATCCAGGAGGTGCACTGAGTAAAGCCGCTGTTCCTCCAGGATGAACGGGTGAGGAGGGTTGGATGCTTATTCTCCTGTGATGTCACAAACGAGTACCTCTCATTCGTGGATAATAAAGGTTTTTTCTATTCCATTATCAAACGATTCATTTTAGGCACATAATTCCTGAAACCAAAATCCGACAGAAAATGGATGGATGGGTCCTTTTTCACGTTTGGAGCATTTAGAGGAGCAGTGGAGAGCCACATAGATCCACAGAGAGAAGCAAAAGCTGAGATTTGCATAATATGCCCCCTTAAGATGCAATGATATTCCAGGCTGTGTTGAGGAACCAAGTACAGAAGATGTTTGTTTCACTGGTAAAAGAAGGCACCATGATTGGCAGGAGATGATGATGCTGCCTTTATAGTCTGTAACTGCTCTTGTCCACTCCCTTATTTGCCTCTGGCTCACTCAGGAAGACTGGCAAACAAAGACATCACTGTGCTCCACAGTTGGTTTATTTCATGTTTTCCCTGGTGTGTATGCAGAGTTTACAACACTTTTCACTTGGCTGTGGATGTCTTCTGGTGGAGGTTACAGCTACCTTTTGCAGCAATGGCTTTACGATGAGTTTTGCAAATTGCCACATTTTGTTCAACATCCTCCATGTGAAAGCCATACCATCGTCAGATTAGTGATCATTTAGTTTCTCTTTTGAACTAGCTCCTTTGATTCCTTTGTGTTTAAGTCCTTTCCTCGATCCTCTGAAACTCCTGCTTCTGCCATCTCCTTATCTCGTAGGATATAAGCAGGAATGCTCAGCGCAGTGTGCCGGGCGGGCAGAAAAATATCTTGTCAAAAAGAGGAATGCTTAGCGTTGAGCTCAGTGTGTGTGTGAAACAAGCTCGGCTTAATATTGCAATCACAAATTATACTCTATGCTTACGATAGAGCCATTTTAAAGGTGTGGAACACGCGTTTAAACAATACATTTGTCGTAGTCTGTAGTAGGAATGAATGCCTTGTAAAAGTTGTACTCTGGGACAAAAAGTCTTGGTGTGCTTGTTTCAGGAACTAGAAGTGCGCAACATCAGAGCTGAGCTTCATTTCCTGATATTTGGATATCTCGCCTCTGGCGGGTTAACAGCTATGCAACTCTTACCACTGACTTGCAAGGCTGATGTCATATCTTCGCAAATAAACACAAGCCTGGAGGAGCTTCTGCTGTGTGGTGGAGTTGCTAAAGCTAACGGTTAGTTTCTACTATCAGAGACATTCTCTGCTGTTTCCTGGATGCTAAACCAACAACAGCTTTCACCGTTGTGAGTCAAGATGGGCGAGTCCATGAATGTTAAGTGAAAGTGTGACAGAGTGCGTTTACATGCAGCCAGTAACCCTTTTAAAACCCAAATATTCACAATAACCCGGTTCCGCAGGTCCATGTAAACACCGCCAAAAACCCGGATATGCTCATAACCGGGTTTTTAATAACCCGATTACTAAACCTGGGGTAACCCTTTTCTAACCTGAATGTTTGGTCGTGTAAACGCATATCGGGATATCCCCATCAAAGCGTGTGTTCTATGCATGCTCTGTTCGCAAGGAATCTTGGTCTTTTGAGTAGCGAGACGTCTTGTACGCGCCAGAACACCGGAAGTAAACAACAAGTTGGCAGCAACATGGCGAGTCACGGCACAGCACCACACTTTTGGAGTGACGAGGAAACTAAAGCGCAAACAAACGAGGTCGCTATCTCTTCCGAACTGGGAAACGTGTTGTTGTTTTCACGGATACCGGAACAAGAAGAACCGGAAATGACGTAGTCCATACATCCTGACGCTACCCCAACGTCCGCATTTAAATCGGGTTATGCAAGTTAGTGGTAACTCTATTTATGCTTGTAAACGGGTTATTATGATAAACTCAGAAACCCGAATACTGATCATAACCCGGATATTGGCTGCATGTAAATGTAGTCATAGATCTATCAGGGTTTTCAAATCCTAGAGTCCATTTTCTATCAGAAGCTAATGTAGTAGACAATTTTCATGTTCAGCCTGCATGAATTATAAATGTTTTTTTCCGTATTCCACACCTTTAACCATCATACGTGAGAACTTTCTTGATACATTGAGTACACTAGAGACATTACCTCGCCCTAAAGTCAACCTGCTTGTTTTGCCATCCTGGCAGCTTCAACGATCTGGAGAGCTACGTGTCCTCGCTCCCAAACCTCAAGTTTCATCAGCACAAAAAACTACTGGTAACGTCTGACAACTGGCGCTGGAGCCACATGATTCAGACTGAATCTGACTCACCACAAATGGGAAACTAACTTTTTACTCTGGAAAATGTAACCCCAAAAAACCTCAGGGGACTTTTATGTTACTTGTAACACCTCACTCCTAATCTGAACGTGTCAAAGTAGAACAGAAAACGTTTACTTACAGACGGCAGCTCTCCATTCTGGCGTTCTCTTAAACCTAAAAGAAACACACAAAAAGGGCCACTAAAGCTACTGAAAGATACAAGTTCTCAATAATAAACCAACAACTAAGAAAAGACCACTGACTTTATAATAACACGCCGAATTAAATGTGATAATAAAAACACATTCATTGTTTCAGCTTTGTTTACTTTGTCCTTTTTCATCAACAAAAAAGAAAATGCATTCAACATAAAAACCAAAAATATACTAAGATAAGATTAAACCTCATCTTTATGGAGTAAAACAAATATTACAAATATTCACTAAGCTGAAAATATAGTGAAATTTGTTTCTAATCTTCCTTTTTTGTATCGCTGTTAGGTTCCCTTCAAAGGGGAAGAGGAAGTTTGAAAAAGGACTTTAGAAAATGTTTTTTCTACAACCAAAAAGTACATTGTGTATCAAAATATAATTTATAAAAATCAAATGTAATGGTGGCATTTAAAACTATATTTAAAGACTATTATTTTGACAAATACGTGTTGATTACCACACCCTCACGAAACAAGGTTTAAACTTTCGAGATTATCACAATTTGCTTTAAATTCCTCCATTTAAATTATCTATTAGAATTTGGAGTTTCTGTAAAAAATACATTTTTGCTTCTAAAACGACGTTTATATAAAAACCATATGGCATACAGAATATTACCTCAATGTGCTTTTTCCACATAAAACGAAGTCGCTACTCTGATAATTATAAAATGTAGTACATATTTTTTTAAAAACAGCGAAAATAAAATGAGCGCACTTACGTATGAAACGAAACTAGAAACGCACGAAGTAACGAAGTAAAACCAGTCACTGAGATTTTGTTCCATCAAGAAATCAACAAAAATATGTCCAGAAACTTTATAAACTAACACTTTTAACTTTCACCTTGAAATAACTTCATATTTTTCTCTATCGCGAGTTTGTAGGATGACGCATTTTCAAAACCAGCACGAGGACTTGGAAAATAAAATATGTAAGTTTAAAATATATATATATTAACTTGATATATTATGTGAGTAAACATTAATAATTAAAAACAAAAAATGAACACAGTACCTTAACTCACTCCGAAGAAGAGAGGGTTCAAGCGAAAGACGACTCCTGCCTTTAGAGTTGCCCTTCAGTCTTTTCAGGAGAAGCAAAGATGGCGCTGACTTCTGCCTGGCACTCCCAGTCAAGAAATACCTGATTTGGAATCGTAGGATGGTCAAGGAAGATCCCGCCTTTCTCGCCTCTGATTGGCTAGAAGAGCTCTCCCCACGATTGGCTATTTCATTTACCAGGAAAAACAAACCATCTTTTTTTTTTACTCCGAAAGCTTTTCTTTTTATTTATTTTATTTTATTTGTATTTTTACAAATGTTACATACTTTTTTACAATAAATTTCTGTCTACAATGAATGGAATAATTAAACATGAGGATAAAGAGCACTCTTACGTCTAAATGACAATAAATAAATAAATAAATAAATAAATAAATAAATAAATAAAAATAAAAGGACAAGATCAAATGACGGACAGAATGGTTATTATATTGCTAAATTTACATTTTCTTTAGAAATCCGGAAGATCTGGCTGCAGACATAAAAAAGCCCTACACTTAGCGAGTGAAATCGGATTGTTGTTTCATAAAATAGCCAATCGTAGGAGAGCCCTTCTTACCAATCAGAGGCGAGAAAGGCGGGACCTTCCTTGGAAATCCTACGATTCTAAATCATGCGCCCAGCACGCAGCTATTTCCTGTTTACAAAAACGACATAACGAATAAACTTGATAAAAGTTCCATTAAAAACGTGTATTTGTCTTTCCCCGTTGCTCCTAAATCAAAAGAAAAACAATTTCAAAATAAAAAATGACTATCCACCTCTTTACTCAAAAGACATTTTTAATAATTTTGCTGTTTGCGAGAAATTCTGAAACAACTTATCACCTATTACTTTATAGGAATTCTGTAAGTTATGGTTGGACAGTAAATTTTCATCATCGTCTACCTCCTTTTCAAAAAGACATTATAACATTCGTTTTACTCCTAAAAAAAGTAAAACTGTGTTTAAGTAGTACATTTTTTAATTACATGAAAAAATTGTTAAACGAACAAAAGACAACAACCGCAAGGGGGCGACAAACGCTGAAAGAAGACATTTAGAGAGCACATAAACGAAAGGTCTTCAGGGCGTTGACAATAGTGGAATGCTTTTGATCTATTTTACTTATTGTTTGACTTCATTTTCAGATATAGAGAACAACACTTTTGTGTAGCATATCAACATTTATGAAAATGAAGCCAAACGATACGTTCTAAAATAAAAATTAAAATGAGGCTTAAGAAAGGTGGAAATCAGGTTGCAAGTTTTCCTATAGTTTGGAATAGAAAGTTCTCAGCATAAAAAGCAATTAAAAGATTCATCTTTCACATAATCTTTTATTAAATATATGGCTGACAAGGTCCAAATCATTTTCCAATTAAGGTTTGTGTTCCAGTAAGCTACTAGATATGATATTGAAGCAACACCATGCTTCTACCAGAAACTAATTTAACAAATTTGAAGTTTGGTTGGATCAATAAGTAATAACGTCAGATTTTGTCCAGCTGTACTTATAATTACCACAGATTCCCCCATCAGGGATTGCATTTGTAACAATAATACATTTTCTGATAGAAGAAAAATAAGAAACTATTCTTAAACAAATTTAATAAAAATTCATGAGGCACTTCACAAGAAGACATTTTAAAAAATATTTTTAAAAATATATTGTAATAAAAAATGTATAAATGCCGGTTGAGATGGCTAGGGCATCTGGTCAGGATGCCTCCTGGACGCCTCTCTGGTGAGGTTTTCTGGGCACGTCCAACCAGGAGGAGGCCTAAAGGTAGACCCAGGACACGTTGGAGGGACTATGTCTCTCATCTGGCCAGGGAATGCTTTGGGATTCCCCCGGAAGAGCTGGCCCAAGTGGCTGAGGAGAGGGAAGTCTGGGCCTCTCGCCTTCGGCTACTGCCCCCACAACCCTACTCCAGATAAGTGGATGAAAATGGATGGATGAATGGATGATGGATAAAGGGGAACATTTTTTGATTGAAAATATGATGAAAAAAAAGAAAAAGAACAAAGGTAATCACAGGATCCTGAAAAAAGACATAACTGACAGAATCTAAGCATGAATAGAAGCCAGTCAGGAAGACGAGGATGAACAGGAGGTCACACGGAAGCCAGCTTGAACAGATGAGCTTTCAGCTTCTTTTTGAAGGAGACCACTGAGTCCACTGATCTCAGGCTCAGGGGGAAAGTGTTCCAGAGTCTGGGGGCCACAGCAGCAAATGATCTGTCACCTTTGGTCTTTAGCCTGGTGCGCGGCACCACAGACATATGTACGTAGATGACCCGTGGACTGGCGCTGCCGTAGCTCCATCTTGGATTGGCCTCCATTCATCTTCACTGCATTTATTACTGAGGAAGGTGGTTACCCAACTAAAAAACACATTTTATCAATCTTTTTCATTAGTGTGCCAGTTGTTGCAACTGTAGGCTGCACAAAACGGGCATAGTTACTCATTCTGCATTGACTTTGGAGAGTGAGGAGACCCATCCAATATGGCAGCGACACTGTTACGCTATCCTGTGCCCAATGGAGCATCTATGTATTCATGTCTATGCACTACACAAGTAGAGTTGGTAGCCTTGTAAAATCTTGATAGGAAATATAGTGAAAGTTGTTATTAAACTAAAGGAAAAAAACAAAGATTTGTTTTTAAAAGTCTTGTTTCACATGTATCTTTATGGAGGGAAATATGCTTGTAAATCAGTGACCATAAAAGAAACATTTGTTATGAAATAGTTTTCAGGAATATTTTTTCAATATTACAAAGTAGAAGGAAGTTATGGAAGCCCATTCCCGCCACTCAGATAAAAAAAATTCATATCTCATAATTATGACTTAGCTATCTCATAATTATGAGATACTAAGTCAGAATAATGAGATAGTATCTCATTACAATCTCATAATTGTTATGAGATACTATCTCATTATTATTATGACTTAGCTATCTCATTATTGTGGGATAGTATCTCATAATTATGAGATAGCTAAGTCATAATAATGAGATAGTATCTCATAATAATGAGATACTATCTCATTATTATGAGATAGCTAAGTCATAATTATGAGATTTTTTTTTATCTGAGTGGCAGTAATGGGCTTCCATAATATGAGGAATAGCATGAGACAGGACAGTCTTGCAGCTTTGGTTAGTAAAACTGCCTCATAATGACAAGTCTCATTACATCCAATGGTTCAGATTTTTCTGGGATTTATTAAATAATAATTGCTGCTTCGGGTATCTCTATCTTTAGTCCTAAAGACAATTCACTAGTAAGTAACAGGAAATGTGACTTTCTAATCTTAGTAAGATTCTTCAGCCCTGCTTTTGTGTATTATTGCACTTTCGTCCTAAAAAACCTCCCTGATGGTGCATTCAAAGACATTAATTATACCATTTCAACGTGTCACCTGAAACTACTGATATTATCAAGTTCTTGTTTTAAAATAATTACCATTCAGTTTGATTCACCTCAGTCAATAGCTTACAGGTTTTGTTTTGGCGTTGGCTTTCACTCGATAAACTTATTTCTGAACTGGGTGTGGCACACACGTTTTCATTTTGCGCGTCTCTGCATGATACTATTACATTACACACATTTAATAACATTTCTTTTGATTTTTTTTAAGTAGAACTCACTGCGCACGTGCAAACCCAAAACGGAAGTCGTCATGTGCAGCAGCCGGAAGCTGTAACGTCCTTTTTGCTCCCCGACTGCCATCATGGTGAGTTCGCCATGAGACGAGGAGAAAACTTATTCAAAAGGAGTAGTTATTTGTTCAGTTAGTGTAAAAAATAACATCAGTGTGCATTTATAAAACACTCACGCACACATTTGCTAAGTTTAAAATGTTTACGTAGGTGTATTTCTAGATTTCAACGCTGACTGAAGTTATCGGCAACGTGGTCTATCAGGCCGCAGAGCCCGAGCGCTTGCTCATTAACCAGATCAAACGCAACTTTTAGGTTATGATGAAGCTGCCTGTTGTCCGCTCTGGGTGTCACATACACGTTTCTACTCTGTGCGTCCGCTAATCCTTGATGTTAACGCAGAAACACATGCTGTTAGCTCGCTCTAGCGGTTCAGTTCCGTATTTTAAATCGGTGTATGTCACATTTCTCAGTGTATTCGCGCGATAGAGCCCAATGTGTGATATATGTTTAAAGTCAACGTAGATCCTAACCAGCCTCTCGTCTCCGTCAGGTGTTCAACCGCTTTGTTGAGATCGGCCGTGTTGCCTACATCTCCTTTGGACCCAATGCTGGCAAGCTGGTGGCCATAGTAGACGTCATTGACCAGAACAGGGTGAGTGGATTGGGGAATTAACTGTAAGTTAGTGTGTTTACGTTGATATAAGGATTTTTATTTTATTTTGCTTCGCAGGCACTTGTTGATGGTCCCTGCACTGGAGTAAAGAGGCAAGCCATGCCATTCAAGTGCATGCAGCTTACTGACTACGTCATCAAAGTACCTCACAGGTGCGTGTTTACACTGAAGGGGTTTATGAAGTTATATAGTGTATTAAAGATAATCCACATGTTTACACAACCAATAGCTGTCACACGGTGTTGCACATGTTAAATGTTACTAGTTCACAGGATTTGTTTATGTTCAGATATTATGTTTTATCTGGTAGAAAGGCGGCAAACATGAAGTATGTTAGTGAACTTGTTTGTGTAAATTTGACATAAAGCTAATTTTGATTCTGGTGCTTAAAGGTTTGCTGAGAGACTAATACTTGATTTTTAATTTAACCGGTGACTGAACTGCAATACTTTCCACTCACAATCCTGTTGTTTTCCATCTACCACTTCTCACACTAACTGTTGTCTCTTGAAACAGGAGCCCAGAAGCATTTTAACATAGAAACTCATTTATGTAAACTAGAAGCCACAGCCACTTAATTGGGATAAGCAAGCGAGCAGTCTAAGATTGAGTGGTTTGTTGTTTTTCTCTCACTAGGACACGTTAGACTTAATGTTGGGTTGCAGGTTCAGGGTTCGGAGCATCTTCTCTATCCTGTCTTTTTTTTTTTACTTGCCTCCACTTTCATCCTTCCGCTGATCCAAGCCTCGCATTTTAAAATCACACAAGAGAACAGCCAGCAATACACCACCATGTTCTTTCTGCTTGCTTCTGTTACTGCTGGTCTTTACCTGTTTTTGAGTTTAAATTCACACTATGTTAAATTAAATATGATTTTGAGCTGCCGTTTATTATTGCTCCCTATTTGAATAATGATGTTCCGGATGCTGAAACCTCTGTCGTTTAGTTAATAACTGTTAGTTTATTTTGCAAATTCAACTGGATGGATTTCATTTGCTTCAACAGCTGGTGCGGTTTTCATGTAGATGTCGGCTCAGCGCCCTTGTGTTAATCAGACCTGATTTTTCGAGTCATCCCACGTTTTTGGTGATTTGGGGTGAATGGGGTTTACAGTTTTCCTGCAGCAGCCTGGCTTCTCAGTCATGGTTGTAAAATGTGTCGAGCATTTCTAACTTCACACTTTTCTGAATAACACAAGAAAGCTCTTAGATCTGTACGCTGTTTGTTTTGGTTCACAGTGCTCGTCAGAAGTTTGTGAAGCGAGCCTGGGAGAAGGCCCAGGTCAACGAGAAGTGGTCAGAGAGCAGCTGGGCCAAGAAGATCGAGGCTAGGCAGAAGGTAAAATGCTGTCAGAGTTTTGTTTTGCTGTTAGTTCATCTCCGTGTTTGATCATCTGTACTGTAACAATCATTGTACTTTCAACGTCTTAACCGTTTTGCACCAGTTTTCTAAATATTAGCATTAATTAGACGTTGTTTCCTACCATCAAGTGCACAATGGTTTTATATCCACACTTGTTTGTGCAGCTAACAAAATGGATAAAATAACCCTACAGTGTGACCAAAGCGTTATATCAGGATGTTGTTGCCCACTGCTGTGTAATCGGGTTACATACTGGCTGGTGTGACCTGTCCCATCAGAGGGATTACAGCTGAACCTTTTAAAATCAGATTAGTTCATAATTTTAACACAAACCAAGTTAAAAGCAAACCACACGTTATGTCGCTGACCTGTTTTTGTTTGGCTCGTCTCCAGAGGGCTAAGATGTCTGACTTTGACCGCTACAAGGTGATGAAGGCCAAGAGGATGGTGAGTATAGCAGAGGCTTTTAATTAGAAGCTTTTTTTCTATGCAAAACAGATCAGTAAAGTGTTAAAAGTAGTCTTGGGACCAATGTGGAGCTCAGCGGGTGAGATAATTAAATTAAATATCATTTAACCCTGTTCTAATCAGTGCACCTTTCTGTCTGCAGAGGAACAAGATCATCAAGCACGAGGTGAAGAAGCTCCAGAAGGAAGCTGCAAAGAAGTGAAAAGTTTTCACAAAATAAATGTCCTGTTGAATTGTTCTGCTGTGTCTTTTTTCAGCATTCGGCAGAATTTCTCACCTTGTAAGTTGCTGAAAATCACTGAATGTGATGAATGAGAAAAAATGGGAGTGCCATTTCAATTACTGATTTAAAATCTCATGCCTCTAAAGTGCGTTCACTAAACGTATTTATTTGGGATGCTGCTGAATTGTTAGTAAATGTATAGATATTGAGTTTGATCACAAATAAGGCAAGGCAGCTTTATATTTCATTCACAGAGGAAATTCAATGTGCTTTTAATCAGCAAGAACGTTGAAATAAACGTGACAGAAAATGCAATTTCAAAAGAACCCGTTGACGGGTGAGCAACTACAGTGCAGAAGGTGCAGCATTAGAAATGTATTCAAAGGCTGATGTAAACTGCTGCTTGAGGATCTCGGCGCCCTGCTGGGTGTAAACACCTGAAGGAGATCTGGCGTATTCTGGCCCCATGCCATTGAGTTATTTATATACTACAAGTACTTTGAAATTGATTGTGTAGTTTACTGGTAACCAGTGTAGAGATTTAAGCACAGGAGTGATGTGTTCGGTTCTTGTTAAGAGTAGCAGCAGCGTTCTGAATAAGCCGCAGTTGCTTCACAGCTTTTTGGGAAGATCAGTCAAAAGACCCTTGCAGTAGTCCAGCCTGCTGGAGATGAACGTATGACGTGTTTCTCTAGGTCTGGTCTGAACCATGAGACCTCTGAGACTTACTGTCTGATGCAGATAACGCTGGTTATAGCCGTAATGTGACCAGTGTAGCTCAGGTCTGAATAAATTCCAACACCAAGATTTATAACCTGAGACTTTGTCTTTATTCCTCTGGAGCCAAGCTGAGCAATAACCTCCATCCTGTCCTTATTTCCAAAGACAATAACTTCAGCCTTTAACTGGAGGAAGTTTGATTGCATCCAATCCTTAATTTGCTGCAAACACTGAGTGAGTCTGGGACCACAGTCACTAGGTGATAGAGCTAGGTAGGTCTGGGTGTCATCTGCATCACTATGATGGGCAGCACTGTTATGACCTGACCCAGTGGGAGCATGTAGAGATCAAAGAGCAGCGGTACAAGAATTGGGCCTTGGGGGACCTCACATGTCATGATGTTCAGCTTTGATTTGTTATCACCAATAGCAACAACATAACCCCTGTCTTCAAGATGAGATTGGAACCAACTATGGACTGTGCCTCAAAGTCTCACCCAGGTTACGAGCCTGTCAATAAGGATGTTGTAGTCCACAGTATCAAACGCTGCACTGAGATCGAGCATCATCAGGACAGATGTTTTGCTTTGCTTGAATCTCTATTTAGACTAATATCAATTGATACTTTAATACGTGCCGTCTCAGTGCTCTGGTGTTGTCTAAAGCCTGACTGGAAACCATCCAGCAGGTTTTCTCTAAAACGTTGTTCAGCTGGATCATTACAGCTTTTTCAATAGATGTGCCAATGCAAGGGATGTTAGAGATTGGTCTGTAGTTATTCAACACTAAGGGATCCAAATTCCTTTTCTTTAGCAGAGGTTCAACAGCAGCAGTTTTCAGTGATTTAGGAAAAATAGCTGACATTAAGGGACAGTTAACAATTTTCAGTATATCAGCTCTTAAGCAGCTAAAGACATTTTTAAAGAAGTTGGCTGGGTGTCCAGACAGCAAATGTGTTGTTAAGGCCTTAAGAATGTTTTTCACCCCGCAGCAGCCCGACCACGGCTGCAGGTTCTGGATACAAGGGAGAAACAAGTGGTCCAAAGAACAGCCAGGGGAACCACTTTAGACTAAAACAGATGCTTTTTGTGGGAAGAGCAAGGACAACGCTAAAAGTTTCAGTCTTCAAAGGCTGAAGGAGTGAAAACATAAAAGCAGTCCTAAAAAGGGTCTAAAACATCCTGTGCGTCACCAGGGGCGGGACGGTGTCCAGCACAAGGAGCCACCTCTTGGCTCCAGCTGACCGTGCTGACCCACGCAGCTGGGTCCCAGTCTGCTCCACCTTGTCCCTTGGCTGTCAGGCACATCAACCTCCTGCAGCAAACCAGTCTGTGCTGCTACCATGGCTCCAGCGTCGTCGTAGAAAGAAGCTCGGTGAAGTTTTCTAGGGAAAAAGTGCATGATCCCGAAGGCCTGTAGATTAAATACGATTTAAGGTGATATTAACTGAATAATTAACGTGAAACATTACTGAGTTCAACTATGCTTCCTCTAAGAAAATCTAATTTTACCAAACGTCCACTAGAGGGCGGTCTCTGTCAATAGTACCCTCACCTTACAAGCATTTAAAAACAAAGGATGGTTGGTCTAAAGACGCTTTAATTCGATCGAGCGCTCAGACTGTTAATTGTCTACAAAAAGAAAATATTCTGTGTGCTGATCGAACACAGCTAAGCTATTTCCAAGCCTCCGGCCCAGTTCTGGCTGACATAGGCCTGCCTGCATGCTGAGAGAAACGGGCTGATCTCAGAGCGGAGCTGGGAAACGTTGCATAACTGAACACTACATGGCCCAGCTGGTTCCGTGTAGGGAACGGAGCCGTGCCAGCACGCGGCTTCTGTCACCAGCTCCTCCACGGCAGCCCAAGAAAACACGCATAATGATGGGCGAGTATTCACGGAGAAAGGAAGGAACCATGGCGGCTACGTAACACTAGCCAAGCCTCCTAGCTTGTTGGCTACATCTGACCCCAGGTCAGTTATAGATAAACGGGATTATCTGTTTTGTTATCCGGGGCCTGATAGAGGCGTTGTTCTCCGAGCGTAGCTCTGACGTCAGAGATCAGGGAGCTGTTCATTATTGAGCCCACACCGGAAACTAACAAAAAGACACTTCAAAGTAAAAGCACAGGTAAGAACGCTGGTACACTTCTTTTGATGTAGATTTAAAGGGCAACTTTTATTTTACTGTATATAAATGTAAAATAATCTTACTCGTATATTGTTTTTCTTACATTTGGTTTAGAATGTTTGAAAAGGAAATAGCAAATGATAGAATTTTCCTTTTTGAAGCTGCGTGAAAGTCGAAGTTGCTGTTGGTTACCAACCAAATTAAATGTGTTTAAGGAAATGAAAGGGCTACTGTAAGCTAATGCTAAAAGATATTTGGTTACCTCATAATTGTTATTTAAACCAACTTCATCAAAAATTTAAAACATTGTGCAGCAGTAATGTAAAAGCTCTTGGGCTCACACCCTAAATATTGCTATTCTTCCAAAGAGGCCATCCACTTCAGTCTCAATTTGCAAGTTTTACTTTTCCTGCTCCAACTCACCTGAATTTAATTATTTAATCACCTCCTTACCATGCTGAATCAAACATGTTTCATAGCATTCTCTTTAGTTTGAATCAGATGTGTTGGCGCTAGGGGACAGTTATATGATCTGAGGGATGATTTCCCTTAAGGAAAAAGCTGATGACACCTGGATTACACAAATATAGTCTAAAAGCAAACTAATCAAACAAATGGTTAAAAAAACACTTCAACTTGTAAAAAGCCTATCTGTCCATTAGAAATTACATCTCTGATGAGTATTTCAAATGCCCGAAATGTGGTGCTTTGTGACCCCATCCTACCAAACTAGAAAATAATTAATTAATAACATTAACAAACAACAGCCCCTTTTTATTATTGGAGCTTTTATTTTGAAACCCCAGAGAGCCGCATCATGCAGCGCACCGTGTTTACTTGGCGCAGCTGATAGCGCCAGAGCGAAAGGAAAAGAGGTGCTGGTGTTGACAGCGTGACACATTAACCCAGGGATCTTTGGACTGATCTGGAGTCGGTTGACCGACCCCGCTGAACCGAACGGCGGCGATCATCAGTCTCGGTGACGCCGTCCGGAGCCGCGCGCTCCAGCAGACCGACATGGATCCATCAGAACGCCTGGCGCTACCTCGCATCCCCCTCCAAGGTGAGTGAGTCAGGCGGACTGGTGTTAGGATGGTTTAGAGCGGAACTGGCCAGGTTCTGGTTGAACTGGACATGTTTATGTAACGCACCACGCGGATGGCGCAGCCTGCTCCGTCAGGTGGCGGTGGATGCAGCAGCAGCGGAGGGGCTTTTGGAGTGGCGGGCAGATGCCCCCGGTCTGACACGGATCTGATGTTTTAGTTATTTATTCATCATTTTTGCTCCAGCTGACACCCCTCTGCGTTACTCGGCTAAACAGTATTATTATTAGGGACATCATTACAGGGCTTAAAACAATATTTGTGCAATATCTAGGAATTTTACAGCATTTTACTGTCTACTATCGTCTAATATACAAGGAAAACTCGAAGAAGCAAAAAAAAAAAATCCATGAAACATTCATTAAATTCAGTTTGACAAATGTTGGTTTGAAGTAAAATGTCTTTATTATTAAATTTTAACAGTTATTCTTTATTCTTGGAGCCAGAAAAGCCTGTCTTGATGAATTAAATCATATTCTTAAACTTATAAAGTCAACAAAGATCAGGCTTTTCCTTGACAAGTAGCTGACAATGCTGCTGCAGCTTTCTCCCAAATAGAAACTTTTACTATAGACGGGAACTGTCTAAATGTTAAGCTGCTTTTTTTTTTTATCTTGGGGCGGCTGTGCTGGGTGAGTTTTCTGATCCTGAAGTCGTCACCGGCTATAAGAGCGGAGCAGCTATCACATCAGGTCGTCGACCTCAGGTGGACTTCTCTCTACCAGTACACGCACACACGTTATCTTTGTACGTCAGTCCCTTAGCAGTTACCTGGACTGGTTAGGCAACCAGCATCAGCACAGGCAGGAGCTTGTTAGGGAGGTGTCACAATTTTCCACTTAAACCACTTAAGTGTTTAAACTTCTTGGTTGGGTAAATGAGGAGTCTGGATTTAGACCATCAGCTCTGCAGCATTGACCCTTCCTGACCTGTCATCAGACGTGTGTGAGAAGGATCGATGACGGGAGTGTGTCGTCCACAAGCATTATCTTTTCACCTTATCATGTCCAGTGATGCTCATGAAGGTGTGAACCCTGGCAACCAATATTTAGTTGCGTGTTGTCTTTGTAAAATGAGCTGAGAGAGACACGCCCACGGCCCCGGATCACCTCCCAGGAATGTTCTGAGTAGGAACGTTCTGCATCAGGACTGCACTGTTAGCTCTAAGGTAGTTTCTTGGAAGCGGGGTAATGGCATTCCTCCCCTGCGGGCGTTGTTTCACAATCTGAAGCAACTCGGCGTGTGACGAGTGCAGATGAATGAATGTTAAAGAGTCGGACCCGTGAGCGAGGCCGCATTTCACATGAATTAGAGTCACGGAGGTGAGGCGTCTCTGAGAGGGAAAACGCATCACAGCAGCACGGTGGAACAGAAATGATGATCAAAAGCATCAAATTCAATTAAAGTCTTTTCTTCTTGTTTTCTCCGTCAGGTCGTGAGTAGCTGGAACTAAACTGAGGCCTTCACGTCCCTGTGGCTATCTGAGACCCTGCCACAAACCCTACCTCGCTCCAGCCTGCTGAGGGGGGACATGCTGGTCTGACAGCTGAAGACCGGCAGGACACAGGAGGCCCACTTCTCCAACCCGTCTCCAGGAGACATGTCGGGGCTCAAATGTCACCACGATGGGAAGATCGCTGGGCTCTACGACCTCGACAAGACCCTGGGTCGAGGTCACTTCGCTGTAGTCAAACTGGCCCGCCACGTGTTCACTGGTGAAAAGGTAAAGTTGTCTCCAAAAAAAGTTGTTTTATCTCCACTACGTGCCGGCAGCTTCACCGGTGCGCCCGCTCCTCCTCCTGCAGGTTGCAGTGAAGGTGATCGATAAGACCAAGCTGGACCCGGTGGCGCGGGGTCACCTCTTCCAAGAGGTCCGATGCATGAAGATGGTGCAGCACCCCAACGTGGTGCGCCTTTACGAGGTCATCGACACAGCCACCAAGCTCTACCTCATTCTGGAGCTGGGTGATGGAGGAGACATGTATGACTGCATCATGAAGCATGATGGAGGCCTCAGTGAAGAGGTGAGGGTGTGTGGTGGACGTTTGATTTCCAAGGACCTGTCGAGTTGCTCTTTTATTACACCGCCTGACCTTGGACCTGACTCAGGATCGGGCAATAAAAGGAGATCAGTAAAAGTGTGATATTAAAACAGGCTGACCCTGAATGAGGACAAACCCAGGACTCATGCACATGCAACACGCACATACTTCATTATTTTACACGCCGAGGCCAAACTTTTTAGTCTAGACATCTTGTAAAACTGTAGCAGCAGCAAAACATTTTTTGCCTTAGCCGCGTTAGACCGACTTGTAGCCTCAGCAGGCTAGTTGGCCCGAACAGTTTTTGGCCGAGCCAATCACAGTGCTCTGTGTTTGTTGAGAGACGCTGGGCGGGCGTAGCACCAGAGCTGCAACAGAGAGAAGACACTTGTTGGAAGGGCTTTAGCATAAACATTAGACTTGGGCTTTTCTTTGAGACATGAGCGCTTAGGTCATTCATTTAGAAAAAGGATGTATTCTTCTCCTTTGACGATGTATGGTGCACTAGACCCTTTCATTGGTCACGTTGTTCGTTGCTCTGATTGGTCCTCCTGTCGCTGTTCAAGTGGCAGTGTGAAAGACCACCGTAGAGTCATGACTGGGGTCTGTCTACGGGTCGTGCCCAGACGATAGATTTACATTTATAGGATGGTTTGCCAGACTACACACTTTTACCAAGTTACCAAATTCCCACCGCTCACAGTATGATTTCGGGCCACAGATAGTCTGTAAAACGAGAACACAACACTTTCTCTTCTGCTTTGATGAACATTACCTTGCGAGAGTTGGCTACTTATCCTCTGGACATCTCTAATCTCAAGTTAACTAGATAACTCATCTCTTGTTTGCTAGTTATGCTTAATGGCTACAGCTCTGTTGTATGAAATAAAAAGACTGGATTGGCCACGAGGACATTGTAGGATAAATTTCCTGTTTTTTTATATCTTCCCTCTCTGCAAGGTGGCCAAGTGTTACTTTGCCCAGATTGTCCATGCTATCTCCTACTGCCACCGGCTTCATGTGGTGCACCGTGACCTGAAGCCTGAAAACGTGGTCTTCTTCGAGAAGCAGGGCATCGTCAAGCTGACTGACTTTGGTTTCAGCAACCGCTTTCAGCCCGGGACGACGCTGAACACCTCCTGCGGCTCACTGGCTTACTCGGCTCCTGAGATCCTTCTGGGAGATGAGTACGATGCTCCCGCCGTCGGTAAGCTTTGGGAATGATGTCGGATTCATCTGTGGTCGGTGTAGCAGTCGGTCTTGTTTGATTCCAGCACACATGGTGGTGTGCTCGACTTATGGATTCTGCAGGCAGCTTTAGCACGCTGGAAGCTTCATCAGCTAGAGCTGTTTGGTGAAGGGGGGTGGGGGCTGCAGAGGAGCAAGAGGAAAGCAGACGAAGCGAGAAAAGGCATCAGCAGTCTCTCTGCCTAGCCACAGGCCACTTCGTCAGAGTGGAACAGGAGAGAGAAGCGATTTGCACTGGCTATTTCCATCTGTCCTCCTCTCTCTCCCTCCTTTGTGCCAGGCTGCTTCTATATCCTGAAAGTGGAGTAATCACCATCCTGCCTGGCTGAACGTGTGTTTTTGTGCGACTGTGTTATTGTTCATTCGGCTGAAATGATGATGTTTTGATTGCTGGGATTATCCGCCCAGCCGGGTTGCATCGGTGGCACGGCCTGAAGCGGAGCGGCGGTCCTGGTGCTCGGGAAGCCTGAGGTTACCTCGTTGGGGGGAGGGGGGTGTTACAGCCTACACTCTTGACAGTTTGCAGAGTTCAGAGGTTTTTTGATGGCGTGCCTGGTGGCAGCCTGCCCAGTTTGCAGTAGAGATAAAGAGGCTGTCAGCACTCTTATCCAGTCTGACCTGTTGGGAGACTCGTTGTCTCGGAAGGAAGAGATAAAGTGAGAGCACAGGAATCTTTTAGCAGAAGAAACTGCATAGCGATCAGAGCTGGTGTGCGTCTTCACACAGATGTTTTTATAATTGCCCATTAGGTTTTGTCTGTGTCCACCATCGTCAGATTAAAGCGATATTGACGATGAACTAAAGTATGTGCAGCTCTGGTCGTCAACAGCAAACCATAAAGAAGGCTTTCTTGTCACATGGATGTTCCTTTCTGTGTGGGCTCCTTCCGTTTTGTCTTCAATAAATGGAAAGCTAAATATAGATTTCCTCCACCTCCTCTTTCGCCTCCTCCCCAAGAAGCTGCACTCAAAATAATAACGTACCTAATAGCATCTACAAAGAACAAATCTGAGGTGCGTGCATAATTTAGGGTGCATCCATTCCCAGTGTGGTGGGATGGACAGGATGCTGAGCGTAAGACAGTTTTTGTGGAAAATGAATCCTGCAAATAAGTTTTAAAAAAGATGTTTACTTTATAAATTGCCAACAGAAAGTGATGACACTTCGTTATCCAGAGATGTGCCAACCACATGGTTTAGAATCAAAGTTACAGAGGAAGGAAGTTTGGAGGAAAAGCTGATGCAAGTAATGAGGCAGTAGGGTCGTGGTTGCTATGATACGCTGGTGAGGGGGTAAAGTGGTGGCAGGGACTGCAGCAGCGTTTCGCTTCCTTCATCAGCAGCGCCTCACAGCCTCTGAGCAACAAATCCTCGCAGGAAAACCAACACACGGAGCTCAGACAGATGGAAATCCACAGAGAATTCCCACTAAGGGTCCCAACCAGTATACAGTATTGACGTTCTCTTCATTGTTGCAAGAAGTGGGCGTTGCTGTTGACGCTTTAGCATCCCTAGTGGTGGATGAAGGAAAAATGCAACTTAACAGCAACTTTACACAAGCAGCAGCAGTGAAGATGACCCCACCGGTTATAGATGTTTGGGTCAAATCTTTGTAAAATTATCTTAAGGAAAATCCCCTGCATGTTCATTAGCACCGATAGACTGGTGTTAGCATTGTAGAGGCTAACAATTAGCATGCCTAGGCTGCTCACTTGCTGGATTAAACACACTTTTTTATGTTAAAGACAAATTCAATCGAGAACAATGGTTGACATATAAGATCTTTGAAATTGAAACTTTGAAAACTAAATTTGTTTGAGGGCTGAAGTTTTTCCCAGCAGACACGTGAGGGCCAGATGCTCTTCTAAAATAAAGATCAAGTATTATTGCATCTTAATTTATTAATATTCTAAATGGCTTTGTTTTCCATCTAAACTGTTCGATTGTAGTTTTAGTTAACATAAACAATTATTGATATTTGGGACATGAAGGTTGCTGCTAAACTTTAAAGTTTGGGGGGCATGGGGGACCAAAGGGTTGTGGGGCGGGGTTGAAAGGTCTGGTGGGCCCGATGTGGCCCGCTGGCCACCAGATGAGGTTCACTGCACTAGACTGACTTAATCTAGCCTACTTGACATAATCTAGCCTACTTTAATCCAACATGAAATCAAATATTAATATTAAACTGAAAACAAATATACTCCTTATTATCATTGTAAAGCTGACGATCTATGATTACAGTATTGGCCTTTCAAAGCTAGCTCAATTAGCAGCTAGTTTAGGCCGTTTCTCTTCTCTTAGCCATGCTAGTGACTAGCGTCTTCAGTGCAAATTATTGTCTCCTTTTTAGCTTCCACCAAATTACATTTTAACTCAATTATTTTGGTCAAATTGTCACATTTTGTGTGTGTGTGTGTGTGTGTGTGTGTGTGTGTGTGTGTGTGTGTGTGTGTGTGTGTGTGTGTGTGTGTGTGTGTGTGTGTGTGTGTGTGTGTGTGTGTGTGTGTGTGTGTGTGAGAGAGAGAGAGACGTAGGACTTTTCTTGTATTTTGTTCTTTTAGCCTGTAACATACCATCTTCCTGAAGCTTTCTTCTAATTTAAAAGCATTGATTATTTATTGTATGGGAAGTTAAATACATTTAGTTGAGCTGATTGTCTCTGATGGGTCTGAGAAGACAGAAAAACACAAACATGGAGCTTCCTTCCACTCGATGTGGTTTCACTTTATATTTTGAAAATCCGTTTAACTTTTACTCCGTTAACTGTTGACAACAATTGAACCTTTAACCACTTTTCATGTAGTTTTTCCAGTCAGTTTTTTGTTTATTTCACTGTCACCAGTGGCCTCCCCACCAGCATGTGAATGGGTGAATGACTGATTGTGTTGTGAAGGGACTTGGAGGGGCGTATTACTCTAAGACTGGGGTGGGGAACCTTGGTCCATCAAGGGCCGCTATCCAGCATGTTTTAGTTTCAACCCTGCATCATCTCACCTGATTTCAATCAGCAGGTGCTTAACAAGCTTCTGCAGAGCTTGATGAGCTGCAGAACAGGTGAACCAACCACTGAATCAGAAGTGTTGGAGCAAAGACGTGCAGGATACCGGCCCTCGAGGACCAGGGTTCCCCACTCCTGCTCTAAGAAGTCGCTATACAAATACAGGCCATTTAAAATCACTTACAGCTTCCTAAAAACACACAATTAGCTGGTAATAAATGCAGCCTTTACCTTCACAGTGTGACTCACTTCTGATTAAAAGGCAAAGTGTGTGTGCATGTCAATCAAATAAAGCTTTTTCACCCACATGAAGAGTTGGATGAACTCGTTTCTGGTCATGGAAGAGCCAGAAACAACAATGTGTTAAAAACCAGCAACTTTATTAACGCAGCATCAGATGCTGACTAATGACCCTGACTGTGTGTCAGAGAGCTGAATGTGTGTCAGCAGCAGCAGCGAACGCCCTCAGCAAAAAACTATCCTTTTAAAATAATCAGACCAAAGGAAATGTTCCATGAAATTAACATTTGTTTGGAGCTGTGAGGGATGAACATGTTAACCCACTTTCCTGCTACCTTGTGTGTGTGTGTGTGTGTGTGTGTGTGTGTGTGTGTGTGTGTGTGTGTGTGTGTGTGTGAGGATGCAGTTAGCTAGCTGCAGGCAGCCATGCACAGCTTCAGCTCTGCTTACAGACGAGTCCTAAGCTTGCACATATTCATGGAAATGATGGTGTGTGATTCATGGAGACGGTTCATATTTACGTATCTCTTTAATCTAGGTCACTAAGCAATGGGGACATACGTGGTTCACTCTGCTGAACACTCTTAGAAATTATTTTGCTTCCCTTTTTGTGTTTGATGTGAGTTTTCTCCCCCCCCCCCCCCCCCCCCCCCCATGTGTGTGTGTGTTTGTGCGTGCGTGCGCAGATATCTGGAGTCTGGGGGTGATCCTGTTCATGCTGGTCTGCGGCCAGCCACCGTTTCAGGAGGCTAACGACAGCGAGACGCTGACTATGATCATGGACTGTAGATACACAGTGCCTCCGCATGTCTCCCATGCGTGCAGAGCGTGAGTAACACACACAAACCCACACAGATGGACTCTGCGGGTGCTGCATATTTCATGTCTGTGGATGTGTGAGGAAACGAGAGCAGAGTGAGGGTGCGGCCTCTCTTCTGCTGCTCTCTGTCATCCTGTTCTCTGCAGTCAGCTGCTCCAGCAGAGATGCGGTGCAGCGTTAAGTGCACCCTCTAAAATCGGCTCTCTGTTCCTAACATGGTGAAGGTTTAGCGATGCGTCACAGCAGATCAGGGACAAAGATAGGCCAAATATATTTTCAGTGGCTCAAGCTCTGAGGACACAGTCTTTGCACATACCTGCTTGCTGTTTTAGTTTCCCAACTTATGTGAACTATTTAGTCAAAACACCTTTCTATCAGACAGAAACAAATGAGTTTTCTTGAGTTTGATGCTAATCTGTGACTCTCTCCAGCCTGATAGGCCAGATGCTGCAGAGAGACCCCAAGAGACGAGCAACCCTGGAGCAGATCCAGAGCCACCAGTGGCTTCAGGGGGTCGACCCCTCCCCAGCCACCAAGCTGTCCACACCTCTAGTGTCCCATCGCAGCTTATCCGAGGAGGAGCACGGCTCCATCATCCAACGCATGGTGCTGGGGGGCATCGCGGACAGAGACGCCATAACTGAGTAGGTGTCTGCCTCCCATCAGACTCATAAACACACACCACATCGATGGTTTAACAGTAGTTTGCCCTGATCTGTTTCCATGAAGAAGTTGTTATTCCCTGTTGTAATCTCTTGGAATTGTGTTATGAGTGAGTGGGATTTCCATGACCTTTGTCCCAGGGCTCTGGAGTCAAACCAGTATAACCACATCACTGCTACCTACTTCCTGCTGGCAGAGAGGATGCTGAGAGAGAGACAAGAGAAGGAGCAGCACAACCAGACACGATCGCCCAGTCCCAGCAAAGCCCAGTTCAGGTACCCGACTCGTCACAATTATCTCAGACAGGCGATGGGGAGACATGAGCCTTTTGTTCAGCGTGGACTCAAAAAACACTGGGATTGAATATTTACCAAAACAAAAGTTCTCTTTTGCCACCAACTTTATATTTCCAGCTGATATGTAGCAACTTGAGATGGACAACAATAAGCTTCAGCCGTTACAGTTTTAATTACACACTACCTATTCTCATCTGTAACTGTAAGGCTCAAAACTGTACAAGCAATGCATAATGGAAATGTTAATTCACTCACAAACAAAAGCATCAGGAGTTTTGAAACAAATTATACTTAAAAATGACAGTTAAGTTAATTAAAGCTAAGCAGGTCAAGTTTTTTTTAGGATATTTCCAGAAAGTGTGGAAAACTGCTCAGTTTAGTCTGAAGCTAATTCAAACATGAGCCAAAAAGCTAGCTTAGCCATTAGAAATGGTTGTTTTGCTAGTTTTGTAAGCTAAAGGGAACCTTAGCTTTGATTAGCTATAAGGAGAATGTTAGCTTGGCTATTAGAAATGGTTGTTTTGCTAGTTTTGTAAGCTAAAGGGAACCTTAGCTTTGATTAGCTATAAGGAGAATGTTAGCTTGGCTATTAGAAAACCGTTAGCTTAGCTTAGCAAAATACTGCTAAACACAAACCCAGCATCAGCTTTATTGTTTCAATGGCAGTTGTAGTTTATGCACTTGGCAGACATTACCCAAGGCGACTTTCACTGAGGAGAGGCAGCAGGATGGTGACGTGTCTTGCCCAAGGACACAACGGCAGAATAACTAGGAATAAACTGAGCTTGAACCTGCAACCCTCCAATCACTAGATGACCTGCTGTACCCACCTCCTCCATATTCCTGTTACTATCGTTATATTAATTTTGTTTTTACAACATGTGTGTGTGTGCGTTTATTACAATGGCCATTTCTCATGTGTACTGAACTCGTGTACTCGCATACTTGTGAAACGTCACTGACGTTGGCCCAAGTACTGCCCCAGTCCTAAGAACGCTCAAAGTTCCAGGATGTGTTCTTGCTCGGCCCATTGTATCGAGGATGCATCAACGCATATGGGGACTTGGGCCAGCAAAGTTTCCCATAATGCATTGTGTTCTTGTGAACTCGTGTACTTGGGTATTGAGAAATGGCCAAAGGTTTTATGCTTAGCTGACTAGCATCTAATTGATATTTTTGAATGAACTAAAACAACAAAATCTAAAATTTCTGCATAAACATCTTTATCAGGACACTTATTACACACAGTACTGTTAACTATTAAAACTGTGTAACCCCACAGGCAGTCCTGGCCCACCAGGGTAGATGTTCACCAGGATGTCAGTGACGGGCTAGGGGGTCCTGCTATGTCTCACCCCGGGGGCCCCCAGTCTCCTGCCCGTAGTGCTGAGAGCCTCCACAAAGGCCCCAGACCCAAAACAGCTCTGCTGGATCTCAGCCTGCGCCCGGGGAGCATCACTTCAGCTCCCAGCCAGCAGCAGCCTCTAGGACCAGACCAGGAGAGGAGTCTGAGGCCTCTGGCTAAGCTCCACACCAACCCCCTCAGACTTTCCTCTTTAACATCAGTGGGACCTTGCAAACCACGCAGTCCCAGCCTTTTCAGTGTGGAAGAGGATGAGGAGGAAGAAGAAGGAGCAGAGGGTAAATGTTTGCCTCCGTCATCGCTTCCGTCTCATGTGGTGCTTCGTTGCAAAGCCTCCTGCTCTTCAACCACGTCCTCCAGCAACCGCATGACGTCTCGTATGAGCGCCCCAGTTCTTAACCAGATCCACGAAGAAGACAAGGAGGAGGAGGAAGATGATGAGAGGAGAGACTTACATGAACTCGGTCCACCCAAACCCAGCCTTAGTCTTAATTTGAACTCCAGAGTACCGTCACCTTCAGCACTGATGTTCTCTCCTGCAGCAGCGCTGGACGCCACCTCTAGTCCCAGCGACGATGAGACAGAACACCACTTTACAGCAGAGACACTGAGACAAGAGGATGAGAGAGAGGAGGTGAAGGAGGAGGGGGAGATACGCAAGTCAGAGCAGGACAGTCCGGGTAACTGTGCCAGCCCAGGGTCAGGGTCAGTGTCAGGACAGGGTAAGAGTACTGCCAAAGCAGCCAGTGGGCTGGTAGAGAGCCTCAAGCTCATGAGTCTGTGCCTGAGCTCTCAGTTCCACAACCTGACAGGTGGAGGAGGAGTAGGAGGAGGTGGGGGAGGAGGAGGAGGTGGTGCAGGTGGTGGTGGCAGCCTTGGCGTAGACCCCCAAGACCTTCCCATGTGGAGAATGTGCATGGGCGGCTCCACCGGCAGCTTGGACAAAGTGTCTCTCCTCGGCTGCCCCTCACCGAGGGGTCACCTTCACCAGCAGCCCCACCTGGGAGAAGTGTTGGCCGACCCACTGCTGGACGGCCCCTGCTCGGGAACCCTGAGGTTGGGGGAGCTGGACCTGGCCCGGGAGAACCACAGGAACATGAAGAACCGTGTGCTGCAGATGCCTCTGAAGGAGAAGACTCTGTCCGTGAACATCCACAGAAGCCCCAAGGAGGGGCTGCTCTGCACCCCCACCCCACACAGCTGCTGCCAGGTCATATAGACCCACACAACGTGGTCCACACCTGCTTTATTTTAGCCAGGAGTTGTCTTAAATTACACTTTTTTGTTGTTTATTTTTGTTTTAACACTCAAAAGTGGGAGGGAGTCCAGATGTTGCACATTTAGAGACACGTGAAGCACTTTCAGCCAGCGGAACAATAAAGGGACGTTTCAGGCGTGTTTGAATCCAGACTAAAAGAATCTGCAGCGTTCAAACCTCATGCCACACAAATAAGCTGAAAGCCAGCGAGTTGTTGCCTCCTGTTACACATCTGTATTTACTCTTGTTTGTAAATTATTTTTGAGACAATCTTTTTTATTCTTATTTTTTATTCTAATTAAAATATTTAATTTAATAGCTGTTTTTATTCAAATGAGAACATGTTCAGACAGATGCAGCGATGCACGACGGTCATTGATGTTTTCCTCATCCAGAACAGGCTCTGAGGAGAGACGTGGGCATGCGGCAGAGTTTGTACATATGTGAATATCCCAACAGTGCGCCGTAACTGTAGTCTTATTGGTAGTTATAATGCAGTAGAGACCTGAATGCTAGAGCCGTACACACCGTTAGTCGCCGTTCCCACTGCGTAGTCGGGATCTTGGTCGGACGGGTAGCAGTCACCACTGGCAGCTCCTGTTCATGTGGGGATGGAAGGTCCCAGGGTGACTGTAGCTACGGCTGTAGCCTAATCCCAGGTAACATCCTGGATTGAGCAGAAGAGAACACCTCCTCCCTTTGTGGCCCACCACTCTAGTGTAATCTCTAACACGAGCGTGCATGTGTTTAGCTGTAGCAGCCCTAACTCACCAGGTCAGCCCCACGGACTCAAACGGTCACTTTACTGTAACCTCACAGCAATACCAGCGACTGCAAAATGTACAACAATGGATGTGCCATAAATCTGTCTTGATATATTGTACTGTATGTATATGATAGAGATCTATTACATTAAAACGATGGGAATGACCTCTGCTGGTGTTGTCTCTTGGTGCATTTAGACACGACCATGACCTCAAATCAACAGCCGATTAAAGCAAAGTTAGCAAAGAAGTGAGGAAATGTGTTAATTTGTTTGGACAACAAATCTTCTACAATCTTATTATTGTTTTAGTTATTTGGTAGCACAGAAATATAGACAAACTGTAGCAGTAGAACAAGATTTCGTGCTGCAGGTCTGTCTAGCCACTCCATTGTAGCTTCAGCAGGTTTGCCATTGGCCTGAACAGTGTTAGCTAGGGCCAATCACAGCATTCTGTGTTTGTAGAGACGCTGGGCGGGCTTGGCACCAGAGCTGCAACAGAGAAACTACAAAGAAATGATGCTCGTTTCAAACGACTGCATCAACTTTGGATAATTTAGATTTTTTTTAGACATGAGCAGATGAGGTACTTGAGTTCTTGATCTCGAAAAAGGATGTATTTGCTTATTTTTAGATGGAGTATGGTGGACTGCCCCGTAGAGAAACATCCCATTGGGTGTGGAGACGGTTTGAAAGACAATCGTAGATTTCGCCCAACAACCGAACTAGATTGGAAAGGAAATTATTGTCATTTTATTCATGTTCCCGTGCCACAGACCTCAGTGGCATGGAGAAGATCCATACGCAGCTGTGACAGCTAAGCTCCTCCCCCTCTGGCTGGGAATGTTGCAGGGCGTTCGGGTACACATTGAACAGTGATTGTCTTTCCACAGATGTAAGATCTCTCTACCTCGTAAGCAGGACTGATCAGGCGTTCCAAAATAATCAAGTTTTTCAACAAGAAGCATTTTTACAAGAAATGTTCAACAAAAGGTGTCAGCAAAATAAAATGACACGGTCTTATGAATGTAGTACAGCAGTGGTACTCAATAGGTGGCCTGCAAGCCGTCTCTTTGTGGTCCCCGGACCACCAGCACCAGTATGTGTTCTGCATGTTTTAGATCAAGAACACAGCTGATTTGTTTCAGTGATGAATCGCTCCTCTAGAAACTAATGAAGGCTGAGGAGACATTTCAACAGTTAAATTAAGGTGTTAAGGTGTTACAATGATGAATGCAGAGCGAGGAGATAAATTTCACTTTCGGTTTAACCACAGGTAATTATTAACGGACACTAGGGGGTGCTAAAAGCAAGCAAAACTGCCAAGCATCTCTTTAATGTTGGTTCTTGTTTGGTCTGTCTTGTGAAAAGCAGGGAAAAAATGGGTCCCTTTGCATGTTTGTTGTCCCTGAACACACACACACACACACACACACACACACACATGCATAATGCAAAGTGCTATCACTGCCCTCAGAAGCACATCAACCAGGTGGGATAACAGACTCAGAAATGTGCAGGTGATAAATTTATTATTTGGATCTCTGACTGCACCGAGGCTTGTGCTGGGCTGAGATCCTAATGTCCACTTTATATGATCCCGCAGCAGCAAAGAGAGATTAAAACTACCTGATTAGCAGCCCTCAGAGTTTTAGTGTCTTAGATTCATTCTCTGTTTAATGACATTAATCCAAACATCTGGTTTTATTTGCACAGAAACATGGAACGACACTTGAGTTCTCTGGTTTTTATTCAGCAAAGACAGCAGAAATAGAGAGAACAGAGGTAGAAAAAGCAGATCGTTTGAGTTTGATTTTTATCTCAATGCACTGGGTCTCAGGCTGCAGCAAGAAGTTGCATTAAAACTAAACCGATGCGGGAACCCAGCAGCACTAACTACATTAAGAGATTAATTCTAGTGGGATTTTTTTTATTTTCTACAAACTTTTTCACAAAATCTTTGATAAGAGGAATAAAAGAAGTCTCTTGTATCAAAAAGTCAACTTTTCAGTGAAAGTCAGCAAAAGATCATGGTTTTATTTATCGTGAAGTTAACATTAAAGTAAAGAACAGATGGAAGTGTTCGATTGCATGAATATGTTTTGGACATTTTACATTTTGTAAAGCTCATCTATTAAATTTTGCACTACATGAGAATCCTTTAACCTTTCAGTCAGTGCAGAAACACTGTGATGCTGCTGCATCAGTGTAGTGTCTCGGTGTCAGACAGGTGGCTGGTTGGTGTGGGAACATCATCTTCAAATCAAATTTAAATCACAAAAAGAAGAGATCCAACACATACTCAGCCCTCTGCACCCTGCAGGGACAGAGCAATCCACTGGTATTCTATAATTTTATCTCTTTGTTGCTGAGCTCCCCTGGCAGCTGAAAACACACAAACACATGTAAACAAACAGCTGATCTCTGGCTGCACAGGCCATCTGGGTGATACTGACTCTCTCTGTGTGTGTGTGTGTGTGTGTGTGTGTGTGTGTGTGTGTGTGTGTGTGTGTGTGTGTGTGTGTGTGTGTGCGCGTGCGCTTACACTGTGGGTTTATTCAGAAATGTTGTGTTTGCTCATGTCACAATGAGAATTGAAGGTCTGCAGGAGAGCAGGAGACAGCGAGACTCACAGGGAGGGACGACAATTCAATTAAAAGCTAATTTCTTGAGCTGGGACAACCAGAGGGGGGCATACAATAAGTACAATAAATAACCAAGGAGAAAAGAAACAGAACTAAATGTCTCAGTTATAAAATCCCTCATGCATGAATATAATAAAAATATCCAGGAAATTTTCTTTTATTGCAGCCTGATAAACCGAACATGAGTTTGCAGACTTCTGCTCTAGCATTAGCTCAACAGGCTGATTTTAATTCCTTTCATCTGAAGATATCCTGCCGTTACGCTAAATTCTCTCCTGTAAAAACAGTTTCGCCCTGGGGATAGAAGACTGCAGGGCAAGAACGGTTTTCAAAGTCACCAGCGTAAAACTCTGCATGAGAACCATTGTAACCTTCATTACTTTGTTTTAACAGTCATGCCCAAACGACACGTTTGAGTTTCAGCTGACCTTTTACACTGGTAAAGCTGGTTTTTATGTTAAAAGGAGCAATGATCTGATCAGTAAATAAGTACAAATGCACCCAAAAGCCATTGTTACCTTATTTAGTAGTTTTATTATTGTTAAAACTAAATTAAACAACTGCCAAAACATGGCTGACTATGTAAATTAACCTGAATAGTTAAGTGTGACAAAACATGACTAGTATTGGGCAGGTGTATAAGAATCTGCCTCACAGTGGTTTGCATCGTATCTTAGGGACCGCTTAGTTTATGTGGCTGCATCACTTTGTATGTCATCTATGGTGTACCTCAGTTTGTTCCGGGGCCGTTGCTATTTCTGATTTACATGATCCCTCTCCAGTACACTTTGAGCACATTCGCTGATGTCTCCTATAAATGATAAATGAAAAATGGCCCGCACTTGTATAGCGCCCTTCAGAGTAAGGACTCCAAAGCGCTTTACACTACAGTGTATCATTCATCCATTCACACACACATTCACACACTGGAGGGAATGAGCTACGATGTAGCCACAGCTGCCCTGGGGCACACTGACAGAGGCGAGGCTATGCAGATGACATTCAGTTATATTTTTAATTTCAGAAATGTCTTCTTCAATGTCTTATTAAACTGATTTGCCACTGTGGAAAGTTGGGAGCCTGTAAACCTCATTCAACTCAACAAAGATACAACAGAAATCCTCGTTTGTGCTTCTGGTAAATGTGACAGAGTGGAGTGCACTCACTGCTCCAGCTACTGCCGCTTTCGCTGGATTAGAGAGTCAGCCAATCAGAGCCCTGATGGCTCACCAGGGCAGTTAAATATGCTGGCTGATTGCTGTCACTCCACGTCAGGCATGGAGTGTCTCTTCCCTCCCTGACACCAATTAAAGGGGGTGGAGGAGTTTGGGCCTTCTTTGTCCTCTCCCAAATAGCGCACAGAGGAGCGTGTAAAGGAAAAGGCATGACTAAGGAGTAGCTGGCATGAGACCAGGTTCCTGAAGCCATCAGCAGAGGGCAGACAGAGCCACAGGGGCAGCAGGATCCAGTGTGCCAGAGTACTTAGGAGCAGCTTGGCAGATGTCTGAGTGGGTCCTCCGTAGATCATGTTGAGATGGATGGACAAAGCTTTCCCACCCAAATGACTGCCATCATTGCAGCAAGGTCTATGATTGGATGGAGCCATTGCCTGAATTTGACCTCTTTTAATTTATAGTTTATTTTTAATTGTGTTTTATTCTTTTTATTTTCAGTTGGAGACTTCCGACGGGTGTGGTTCTTCCCCCCTGGTGTGGCATACTGTTCCCCCTTGTGTGGTGTGCTGTTGGTGGTGGGATTTTGTTTTTTGTCCTCCACGTGTGTGCACTGTTTCAGGGGTGTCCTGGTGGCAGTGGGATGCCCACTGCTCCTTAGTTAATCACCGCCCATTAAGCATGTGTTTCACATGCAGGCTGAACATGAAAATAATGGCTGCTGGCCACACCCACCCATCCCAGACTCGGGCTGAGAAGCTTCAATATCTAGACGTAGTCCCTCCACCGTGCCCTGGCTCTACCTTTAGGTCTCCTCACGGTTTGACATGCCTGGAAAACCTCACCAGGGAGGCGTCCAGAAGGCATCCTGACCAGATGCCCGAGCCACCTCAACTGGCTCCTCTTGATGTGGAGGAGCAGCAGGTCTACTCTGAGCCCCTCCCGAATGGCCGAGCTTCTTACCCTATCTCTTCGGAAAAAACTCATTTTGGCCGCTTGTATCCGTGATCTCGTTCTTTCGGTCGCTACCCAAAGCTCATGACCATAGGTGAGGGTAGGAACGTAGATCGACCGGTAAATCGAAAGCCTCGCCTTCTGACTCAGCTCTCTCTTCACCACAACAAACCGGTACAACGCCCGCATCACTGCAGATGCAGCACCAATCCGCCTATCAATCTCACACTCCAGTTTTCCCTCACTCGTGAACAAAACCCCGAGATGCTTAAATGCCTCCACTTGGGGCAGGACCTCATCCCTGGCCCGGAGAAGGCATTCTACCCTTTACCGAATCAAGAGCATGGTCTCAGATTTAGAGGAGCTGATTCTCATCCCAGCTGCTTCACACTCGGCT